GTGTGGGGCCCTGTCCCCATGGTGCCTTGTCCCCATGGTGTCCTGTCCCCATGGTGCCTTGTCCCCATGGTGTCCTGTCCCCGTGTGGTGTCCTGTCCCCATGGTGTCCTGTCCCCATGGTGCCTTGTCCCCATGGTGTCCTGTCCCCATGGTGCCTTGTCCCCATGGTGTCCTGTCCCCATGGTGTCCTGTCCCCATGGTGCCCTGTCCCCATGGTGTCCTGTCCCCGTGTGGTGTCCTGTCCCCATGGTGTCCTGTCCCCATGGTGCCCTGTCCCCATGGTGCCCTGTCCCCATGGTGTCCTGTCCCCATGGTGTCCTGTCCCCCGTGTGGTGTCCTGTCCCCGTGTGGTGTCCTGTCCCCATGATGTCCTGTCCCCCGTGTGGTGTCCTGTCCCCATGGTGCCCTGTCCCCATGGTGTCCTGTCCCCATGGTGTCCTGTCCCCATGATGTCCTGTCCCCCGTGTGGTGTCCTGTCCCCATGGTGTCCTGTCCCCGTGTGGTGTCCTGTCCCCATGATGTCCTGTCCCCATGTGGTGTCCTGTCCCCATGGTGTCCTGTCCCCATGGTGTCCTGTCCCCATGGTGCCCTGTCCCCATGGTGCCCTGTCCCCATGGTGTCCTGTCCCCATGGTGTCCTGTTCCCCGTGTGGTGTCCTGTCCCCCGTGTGGTGTCCTGTCCCCATGGTGTCCTGTCCCCATGGTGTCCTGTTCCCCGTGTGGTGTCCTGTCCCCCGTGTGGTGTCCTGTCCCCCTGTGGTGTCCTGTCCCCCGTGTGGTGTCCTGTCCCCATGGTGTCCTGTCCCCATGGTGTCCTGTCCCCCGTGTGGTGTCCTGTCCCCCGTGTGGTGTCCTGTCCCCATGGTGTCCTGTCCCCATGGTGTCCTGTCCCCATGGTGTCCTGTCCCCATGGTGTCCTGTCCCCCATGTGGTGTCCTGTCCCCCGTGTGGTGTCCTGTCCCCATGGTGTCCTGTCCCCCGTGTGGTGTCCTGTCCCCATGGTGCCCTGTCCCCATGGTGTCCTGTCCCCATGGTGTCCTGTCCCCCGTGTGGTGTCCTGTCCCCCGTGTGGTGTCCTGTCCCCATGGTGTCCTGCCCGCCATCCTGCTCGGCTCACCCACATTGTAGAGGAGATTCAGGCCCCGCGCGGGAGTCTTGCCCAGGTTCCCGAGGGTCAGCATGTGTCCTCCTCCACCGAGGCTGGGGCCAGGCTGGTGGACGCAGGGTCCACATCTTCCTGGGACCTGGTTGTCCAGACTTCACAGCCCATCTCCCTGCAGGTAACGGGAGTGGGCCGTGAGAGGGCCGTGCGTGTGGAGGAGCTGGGAGTGGTGTGGGGCTCTGCAGCCTGGGGCGCCGGTCACCCCTCCCCCCGTCCCGTCCCAGCCGCTGCTGGGCCATCTGGCTTCCAGGAGACTCATGCCAGTGGCCTCAGTTTCCCCAGTGGGAGGTAGACACCTGAGCGTGGTGCTCAGGTGGGAAATGCGGGTCTGTGAAGGGTTAACGGTCCTGGCTGCGGGGCTCTTCCTGTCTCCACTGACCCCCATTGTTGCTAGTTCAGGAAAGGCATTTCCTGTGAGGTCACAGCCCGGGTGCTGTCCAGGCAGGGCTGGGCTCTGTCCCCTCTGAACATCTTTGTGTCCCCACGTTGCCTCCAGCGGGCAGCTGGCAGCCTGCCTTCAGGGGCAAAGCCTGGCTGCCTCTCTAGGCCTCCTGCACCTGACCTCTCTCCTCTGGCCTGCCCAGCACACCACTGGGCACAGGCACAGCAGGGCACCGTCAGCGTGCTTGGAACAGCCGGGAGCTGAGGTTCTTTCCGTTGCTCTGCCTGGCCTGCGATTGGGGAGGGGGGCGGTGGTGGGCCCAGACTCAGCCCCCAGTTCCCAGACCTGCCCCTGTACATTTCGCTCTGCTGTGGGCAGCAGCCCAGCTTGGTCCCATCCCTCAGAGCCTTGCGTCTGGCTTCCAAGACCCTTTCACAGATTCCAGGTGGTGGTTATTTTTTTGTGTGTTTTGTTTTTTGTCGGTCATGGGGCTTGAACTCTGGCCCTGGGCGCTGTCTCTCAGCTCTCCAGCTCAAGGAGAGAGCTCTACCACTTGAGCCACAGCACCGCTTGTGGTTTTCTGGTGGTTTATTGGAGATAAGAGTCTCACGGACTTTCCTGCTCGGGCTGGCCTTGAACCTCAGTCCTCAGATCTCAACCTCCTGTATGATGAGGATGACCGGCGTGAGCCACCGGTGCCTGGCAGTGTTTGCTGTTTGAACCCATTTTTCAGTGCATATCCCACCGGCATTAAACACGCTCACATTGTTTTGTGTCTGTCACCACCGTTTGCCTCTAGAATGTGTAAATGGTCATGAATTAGACCTCAGGACCCTTTGCTGCCCTCCTGGCCTCCTGCCACCCTCGGTGGTCCCTGTGTGATGGACACCCCTCCTGTGTTTCCACCTTGGGTGTCCATTCCATCCTTCCTCTGGCTAGGCCCTAGCACCGCGTCAGGAGAAAGCCAGGGTCCCCAGGTGGGTGGTGGACAGCGGTGGACAGATGGGTGAACATCCTCTGGCTGGAGGCTCTTGGGTTGGAAGGGAGGGGAGGCTGGCCTGGGGACAGGGACAGAGCGGGGCTGGCGCTGGTAGAGAGGCAGCACCTGGCGGCTGAAGAGTGCAGTTCTGGGAAACAGGTGGGGCCGTGGAAGGGTTTGCCGCACGTGCATCTCCCCACCCCTGGGCTGGTCACATTGATTTTCTTCTTTATGAAAATGTATAATTGTTGAAAAGTTCAGATTTAAGGGAGTCGAGCTGATAGAAGTGGACCAGGGGCCACGGGGCAGAGATGGCCACGGTGTGGAGGGAGGGGAGCGCTGTGCTGGTGGCAGGCGCCCTGGGCACTGTGGTTGAGGCTCCTCCAGCCCTGGGTGGGGATCGGCCTGCGGTGCGGCCTTCCCGGAGGCTCCTCCAGCCCCGGGTGGGGATCGGCTTGCGGTGCGGCCGTCCCGGAGGCTCCTCCAGCCCCGGGTGGGGATCGGCCTGCGGTGCGGCCGTCCCGGAGGCTCCTTCAGCCCTGGTCTGTGTGGACCAGGTCAGTGTGCTCCACTCCTAGGGGAAACAATTGTCCAGGCTTCCTAGGGGGTGTGACTGGTGCCCCTGAGCTGGCATGAAGGGCCTCTCTGTGCCCAGGAAAGGCCAAGGGGCTCAAGTACCCAGTGCTCGGATCTTAGTACCTCGCCCCCGGCAAACCTCCGTCGTGGGAGGAGACGGCTCAGCTGGCCTGGCGGGCAGGGTCCCCGGTTCTCCGCTCCAGGTGCCCTGGCCATGCTGGTGGACGCACTCAGGATGGCGTGGGCATCACATGGCATCGGGAGGTCCCCGTGGGCAGCCAGGCTGCGTCTGTGTGGCTCTGGTTGGTGACCTGGGGGAGGCAGGGCTGCATCCCCGAGAGCAGATTGTCGGGGCAGGGAGGGCACCGCTCTGCCCAGTGGCTCCCGTGCCTTAGCCGCATTCCTGGAGTCGGCCACCAGAACCGCGTGGGGCTGTGTGGTCAGCGGAACTTCAGAATTGTGGGGAAGCCAGTGAGGAGGAAGGGTCACTGCTCAGCTCACTGTCCAGAGGTGACGCTGGGGCAGCGGAGTGCGCGTCTGACCACGTGGGGAGGCCGGGGCTGTGGGGTGTGTGTGTGTGTGTGTGTGTGGTCACGTGGGGAGGCCGGGGCTGTGGTGTGTGTGTGTGTGTGTGTGTGTGTGTGTGTGTGTGTGTGTGTGTGTGTGTGTTCACGTGGGGAGGCCGGGGCTGTGGTGTGTGTGTGTGTGTGTGTGTGTGTGTGTGTGTGTGTGTGTGGTCATGTGGGGAGGCCGGGGCTGTGGTGTGTGTGTGTGTGTGTGTGTGTTCACGTGGGGAGGCCGGGGCTGTGGTGTGTGTGTGTGTGTGTGTGTGTGTGTGTGTGTGTGTGTGTGGTCACGTGGGGAGGCCGGGGCTGTGACCACGTGGGGGGCCGGGGCTGTGGTGTGTGTGTGTGTGTGTGTGTGTGTGTGTGTGTGTGTGGTCACGTGGGGAGGCCGGGGCTGTGGTGTCTGTGTGTCTGTGTTCACGTGGGGAGGCCGGGGCTGTGGTGTGTGTGTGTGTTCACGTGGGGAGGCCGGGGCTGTGGTGTGTGTGTGTGTGTGTTCACGTGGGGAGGCCGGGGCTGTGGTGTGTGTGTGTGTGTGGTCACGTGGGGAGGCCGGGGCTGTGACCACGTGGGGGGCCGGGGCTGTGGTGTGTGTGTGTGTGTGTGTGTGTGTGTGTGTGTGTGTGTGTGTGTGTGGTCACGTGGGGAGGCCGGGGCTGTGGTGTGTGTGTGTGTGGTCACGTGGGGAGGCCGGGGCTGTGGTGTGTGTGTGTGTGTGTGTGTGTGTGGTCACGTGGGGAGGCCGGGGCTGTGGTGTGTGTGTGTGTGTGTGTGTGTGGTCACGTGGGGAGGCCGGGCTGTGGTGTGTGTGTGTGTGTGTGTGTGGTCACGTGGGGAGGCCGGGGCTGTGGTGTGTGTGTGTGTGTGTGTGTGTGTGTGTGTGTGTGTGTGTGGTCACGTGGGGAGGCCGGGGCTGTGACCACGTGGGGAGGCCGGGGCTGTGGTGTGTGTGTGTGTGTGTGTGTGTGTGTGTGGTCACGTGGGGAGGCCGGGGCTGTGGTGTGTGTGTGTGTGTGTGTGTGTGTGTTCACGTGGGGAGGCCGGGGCTGTGGTGTGTGTGTGTGTGTGGTCACGTGGGGAGGCCGGGGCTGTGGTGTGTGTGTGTGTGTATGTGTGGTCACGTGGGGGGCCGGGCTGTGTGGGAGCATGAGCAGCTGTCTCCGTGGAGGGGTGATGAGGCTGCACTGCCTGCTCCCGCCATGCATGCACTAGCAGGGTGTGGGTTGGCTGTGTGTGGCACGCAGGGGCACGGTGGATGCAGGGGCCTTGGGGCCTCCCCGTGAGGAGGGCCGACGGCCTCTTACCGTGCCACGCTAACTGCCTCTCTCCTCCCCAGCCGCCCTGCTGCGCATCAACGTCCTCTCCCTGGTCTACCTGCTGGTGCTGCTGCTGCTGCCCTGGCTCCCGGGCCCCACGAGGCACAGTGTCCCAGGTAAGGTCCCGAGAGGGTGCCGACTTGGCAGAGACCCGGGCAGCGGGGAGCCCGACCCCGCCTGGGTAACCCGGCCGCCATGAGGACTCCAGAGTCTCGTTTCCTCCTTGTGGACTGTGGCTGTTTCCGTCTGCTCTGCGGAGGGCTCGCCACCGGTGTTGGGTGTGACAGGATAGAGGCTGTGGGCCACTTCCCGCCTGTCACGGGAAGCCTCTGGAAGCCAGGACAGCCCACACAGGAGCTTCCCCGCCTACCCCGTTCTGCAGCTGACCTGGGATGCCCTCCCCCACAGGACTGTGGCCATGGCGGTCTCAGCCCGAGGGGCTCCGGCCGACTCACCCAGCCAGCAGCCCAGGCTGCCCGTGCGCCCTGCTTCCCTGGTGTCCCTCGGGGCCAGCCTGGGCTCTGGCCAGCCGTGAGCTGGGCAGGGATGTCTCTTCTGTCCTCCACACGAGCGAGGACGGTCCTGAGCCGTGTCCCCGGGGGACTGGGCAGTGGGGCCCCAGCTGGGCTGTGTCCCAGCTATTGCTGCTCCATGATAAAGAAGAGCGCAGCGCTGTGCCCTGGGCGCAGGCCTGGCCAAGGCTGCCGGGGCCGTGGCCAAGGCTGCCGGGGCCAGAGCTGAGGGCCCTCGGTCTCCAGTTCTTCTTGCCTGCACTGTGTGCATCTAGTGTCCGTTTTACGCCTTACAGTGACAGCATGTGGTCAGGAACCTGTCCCCAAAATGCCCACCCTTGGGTGGAGAGGCCTTAGCTAGCCGCGGGCCTTGGAGTGGGGTGTGGCCCCGTTTACAGAGGGTTGTGGGGAAAGCACACGTCACATCGAGAGACCCTGCCCAGGCGGAGCTGTCCAGGAGCGGCAGGAAAGCAGCTGAGGCCAGCAGGGGACACCCAGGGCTCACCGAGGACACTCAGGCCTGGGCACTGCCTTCTGGGTGGTGCTGGCCACCTTAGCGCCTCGGTGAATGGGTTTCCTGTGGCTGCTGGGCTGAGTCACCACCCCACCCTGGGGCTGCGAAGCCACAGCTGACTCCTGACTCTGCTCGTCGGTTGGTAGAACCCAAGGTCGGGGCAGCGGTCAGGGCTGGACTGGCTTGCTTTTCCTTTTAGCTTTCTTTTGCTTGTTTTTCATCTGTTTGTGCTTTTTGTTTGGCTTTTGGGTGGTTATTTGGAAATAAGAGTCTCACGGACTTTCTTGTCTGGTCTGGCTTCAAACTGCGATCCTCAGCTCTCCTTCTGAGTAGCTAGGATGACAGGTGAGCATCCCGTACCTGGCTTGATTTTGGTTTTGTGCTAAGGTTTGAACAAACTTGCTAGGCGGGTACCCTACCACTTGACGCACTCCCTCAGCCCTTCCCCCTCTCTCTCTCTCTCTTCCCTCCACCTCTCTGTCCGTCTCTCTCTATCTCTCTTTCTCTCTCTGTCTCTCCCTCTCTCCCTCTCCGTCTGTCTCTGTCTCTGTCTGTCTGTCTCTGTCTCTGTTTCTCTCCCTCCCTCTCCGTCTGTCTCTCTGTCTCTCTCTGTCTTTGTCTGTCTCTCTGTCTGTCTCTGTCTCTCTCTCCTTCACTTTTTTCTTTTTTTTTTTTGGTAGGTTGTAGGTAGGGCTTCAGCCGGGCCTCAGCACCGTCCCTGACCTGTTTTTGCTCAAGGCTAGCACTCTATCCTTTTGAGCCACAGTGCTACTTGTGGTTTGGGGTAGCTATTTGGAGATAAGCGTCTCACTGACTTTCCTGCCTGGGCTGTCTTGGAACCCCCCCCCAGCGTGGCCATCCCTCAGGCCCCACCAGCCCAGAGGGCAGAACCAGGGGGCAGAAAGCAGAGCGAGGGCATTTGGGGGTCCAGCACAATCAGCACGCTGGGAGGCAGGGGTGCGGGCCAGCCCTTCCCCCCTGCTGGCCTCACTGAATGCCACTTGCTCCATGTCTCGCGCCCCATGTAAGCAACTGGACACTCCCAATGTGGCAGCCAGCTCAGCCTACCCAGGCGGGGTTACAGGGGAGACCCCGACTCCCTGCCCTGTCCTCTGACGTGGTGGCCGTCCAGGCGGGGTTACAGGGGAGACCCCGACTCCCTGCCCTGTCCTCTGACGTGGTGGCCATCCAGGCGGGGTTACAGGGGAGACCCCGACTCCCGGCCCTGTCCTCTGACGTGGTGGCCGTCCAGGCGGGGTTACAGGGGAGACCCCGACTCCCTGCCCTGTCCTCTGACGTGGTGGCCATCCTGTCGGGGTTACAGGGGAGACCCCGACTCCCGGCCCCGTCCTCTGACATGGTGGCCATCCTGTCGGGGTTACAGGGGAGACCCCGACTCCCGGCCCTGTCCTCTGACGTGGTGGCCGTCCAGGCGGGGTTACAGCTGTCCCATGCTGTCTGTGTGTCGCTGTCCAGCCTCAGAGGCCCTCCGGGGGCTTTTTCCAGGCGTGAGAGAGGAAAATGTGAAGCAGAACGGTGTGGAGTATCCTGTGTGGGTTTATGACTTGTGCAGCTGCAGGCCTTGGCAGCGGTCATGGGGGAAGGCTGACGTCGCCTGGCCGCGTCCCCTGACCTCCGGGTGGGAGGGGGGCAGGGGGGGCTGGCAGGGGCTGGCTTGGGCCCTGTGTCCAGACGGGCCCTGGGCCTGGTGTCCAGCCACCTGCTTGATTGACTCCTGCTGCGGCTCATCCTGCCTGCCAGGGTGCCCGCACCAGGAGGGCCCCCACCCCTGTCTCCCTTTCCCACGGGGATGGCCGGGCCTCACCGCCCTGGCCAGCCTCGACTTGTACCCTCACTGACGTGACAGACAGGCACGGGCCCCAGCCTAGCCCTGCGCAGCTCCGAGCCCCGCCCATCCCACCCGCCCCTCCCAGCCCCTCCCACCCACCCGCCCCCTCCCAGCCCCTCCCATCCCACCCGCCCCCTCCCAGCCCTCCCCTCCCAGCCCCTCCCACCCACCCGCCCCCCTCCCAGCCCCTCCCATCCCATCCTGCCCCCCCTCCGAGCCCTCCCATCCCACCCGCCCCCTCCCAGCCCCTCCCATCCCATCCTGCCTGCCCCCTCCCAGCCCCTCCCACCCCACCCGCCCCCTCCCAGCCCCTCCCATCCCATCCTGCCCGCCCCCTCCCGAGCCCCTGTGGTCCTGGCAGCAGCTTGGGCTCTGCCCAGCAGCGTTAAGACCTCCTGCTGCTCAGCTCCGTGAGCAGAGCCCCAGCCCAGGGCTCTGCCCAGGCAGAGGCTTGCCCCTGGGGCTGCGGCTCAGGAGCCGGGCGGGGGCCTGGCGAGTGGCAGGCTTGCTCCTCGGCGCTTCCTCTGCTGCTGAGGCCAGGCGGGCTCTGAGCCCCGCTCCCCTTCGCCTCCTCCCAGCGTGGGGCAAAGGACGCGCGTGGGACCTCCTGCAGTCACGTGCACTCCGTTGAGTCAAACGGGCCTCCCGTTCGCTGGCAGCCCGGCTGGCCCTGCACGACTGCCAACAGGCCCTGGAGAGGTCTGGGGCGGCCTCGGCCTGGCACCTCTGCCCCGAGGGCGGGGTGCGGTCGTGGAAGGTGGGGCTGCTGCTGCTTCCTGGGGTGGGGGAGGGCAGGGCCGGCTGGGCAGGGTCTACGGACCTCCAGTGTCCAGGCCAGTGAGGCCCTGACTGGCTGCCAGAAGGACCTGCCCCGGCCACTTCCTGTTCCCCTTCCATCCATCTGTTTTCTCAGCTGAGCCCCTGCCTCCACCAAGCTGGCCAGCCCCACGGGGTCACCCAGCGGCTCAGGGACGGAGGCCGCCGGGCCGAGTAGCCCGGCCTCCCGGTGTCCGCAGAACAGGCATCCCCGTCAGCCAGCTCGAGCTGTGGAGATGAAGGGGAAGGTGGGCGCCCAGCCGTGGGCGTGCTCCGGGGGTTCTCTGCATCCGTTTGTCCATCTGAATGAGAGGGAGCAGCAGCCGGGCGCGGGGCGGGGAGGCCTGCGGTGGGGGAGGCCGACCTCGCACGGCTGGTCATCACAGGGGCTTCTGGCTGAGAAGTGGACTCGGGCCTCTCCTGGCCAGGGTCACTGCAGGGCTGCCACCACCAACCCGCTTCTTGACTCACTGGGGTGCACACAGCAGTGGGGGAGGGTAAAGTACCGCACCCATCTTCCCTCCCCCAGACCCTACACACAGGCTCTGTAGGGACTGACCACGGGGGCCTGTGTACAAGGCTGCTCCCCACCTTCTACGTCTGAGTGTCCACCCGCCCTTAAAATAAGTCTTATTTGGGGCTGGGAAGGTGGCTCAGTGGTAGAGCGCTTGCCTTGCATGCCTGAGGCCCTGGGTTCGATTCCTCAGCACCACATAAGCAAAAAGAAAAAAAGCCAGAAGTGGCACCGTGGCTCAAGTGGTAGAGCGCTAGCCTTGAGCTGAAGAGCTGAGGGACAGCACCCAGGCCCAGAGTTTCAGGCCCCACGACCGGATCCCTCCCAAAAAATCTTATTTGAGACAAGGTCTCACTCTGTAGCAGAGGCTGCTTTGAACTCATGATCTTCAGTCTCCAGATTGCAGGTGTCTATTTCTTCCCTGCTGTTTGCAAGGCAGGTAGATCTTTGCTGGGTCAATGGAAACAGTTGTGTCTCCAGGAGCCAGGGGCTTCTTCCTGCCTGTTCTCTGTGCTCCCAGAGAGCAGCGAGCAAACAGGAGCCCCGTGGGTCGGGCTGCCCTCCCTCGCTGTGCGGCCTGGGGCCGGTCACTTCCCCAGCCTGTGCCGTGTCCTCATCTGCGTCAGGTCACAACAGCATGGTCCGATGGCTGCCAGGAGAGGCGCGGTGCCCGAGGGCTGTGTAGCCTGTGCTACGTACCTGTCACTCTGGTCACAGAAGACGCTGGCTGTGGTTCAGACACCACGGCCGTCCTCCTGCCCCTCCATGTCGCCTGCGCCCCTGGCCATGTCCCTGCCTGCCCTTCCAGCCTCACCCCTGCCTGCTCTGCCCCAGGTCACACAGGTCGCCTCCTCCGTGCCCTGCTCTGCCTCAGTCTCCTCTTCCTGGCGGCTCACCTGGTCTTCCAGATTTGTCTGCACACTGTGCCCCGCCTGGACCAGCTCCTGGAGCAAAGCTGTGAGTTGCCACGGGGCAGGGGTGTGTCTGTGTGTCCGAGTGTCTGTGCGTCTGTGTCTGTGGCTGGAGGGAGCAGCGTAGCCTCTCAGGCAGACCCTCGGGTCTGCTCGGGAAGGCTGAGCCGACCCCGGCAGGCTCCCCAGCCTCACCCATCATGTCTGGCCATGGTTTATGTCCAGCGCAGGTTTTCTGGGGTCTGAGCCGGGCCTGGGCGTCCAGGCTTGAAGGCAGCCTTTGGGCCCCTGCGCCCCGGCCCTGCACAGGTCTGCGTGTGGCTGTGCAGCCGGGTGGCTCCAGCACCTTCCTTCCACCTGTGAACCAAGCCTCAGCTCCAGACAAGACGGGGTCTGACGCCAGACCCTCCCCACGCTTCCTCCACACACAGCCCAGCGTCCAGCAATGCCACGCAGGCTGGGGCCCCGCCCTGGGGCTTTGCCCTGCTCGTTAACGACTGAGATGTCCGGGCCTCTCTGCACCCTGAAGTTCAGCCGCAGCTACTTCCAACCCTGCCCTGCTACATCGCCCACCCGGGCCCAGCACCGCCGCCCTGCCCCCCAGCCACCGGCCGTCCCCCGGCTAGGCCTCCGTTTCTCCATCAGTAAAGGCCGGAGGGGGCTAGGCATCTAAAACCCTTGCTGTCCTGCTGTCCTGCCTGACTGGCCCCTTACTTTCTGCAGGCAGCCGCTGGGAGAACCTCTCTCGACATATTGGGGTCACAAGGTAAGACCCCAGTGGGCTGCCTGGGGCTTCTCAGTCAAGGGCGGTCTGGAGCCGCCACCTGGGTCCTCACGGACCAGCCTGTGTGTTCTCGGGGCCGGCTGCTCCCCTTCCCGGCCCTGCCCCTCCCTGTGCTGACCACGGGCCCCTCTGCCCTCCACAGACTGGACCTGAAGGACATTCCCAACACGATCCGGCTGGTGGCCCCTGACCTGGGCATCCTCGTGGTCTCCGCGGTCTGCCTGGGTCTCTGCGGGCACCTCACGAGGAAAGCGCGGCAGAGCCGGCACACCCGCGAGCCGGTGAGCGGCGGGACACCGGGCGGAGGCTCGGTGACACCGGGCAGAGGCTCGGTGAGAGGCGGGGCACTGGGCAGAGGCTCGGTGACACTGGGCAGAGGCTCGGTGACAGTGGGCAGAGGCTTGGTGAGCGGTGACACTGGGCAGAGGCTTGGTGACACTGGGCAGAGGCTTGGTAACAGTGGGCAGAGGCTTGGGGACACTGCAGAGGCTCGGGGACACTGGGCAGAGGCTCGGTAACAGTGGGCAGAGGCTTGGTAACAGTGGGTAGAGGCTCGGGGACACTGGGCAGAGGCTCCGGGACACTGGGCAGAGGCTCGGGGACACTGGGCAGAGGCTCGGGGACACGGCAGAGGCTCGGTGACACTGGGCAGAGGCTTGGTAACAGTGGGTAGAGGCTCGGGGACACTGGGCAGAGGCTCAGGGACACTGGGCAGAGGCTTGGTAACACTGGGCAGAGGCTTGGTAACAGTGGGTAGAGGCTCGGGGACACTGGGCAGAGGCTCGGTGACACGGCAGAGGCTCGGTGACACTGGGCAGAGGCTTGGTAAGCGGCGGTACTGGGCAGAGGCTCGGGGACACTGGGCGGAGGCTCGGTGACACCGGGCAGAGGCTCGGTGACACTGGGCAGAGGCTTGGTGAGCGGTGACACTGGGCAGAGGCAGCTCTCAGGGCTGCTTTAAGCCTCTTCAAGTGCTCGTGAATAGTCGTGGAGTGCTTATATGCTGGGTTTGAAGAGGGATGCAGGAGGAAAGGGAGCGTTCTGGTCCATTCCTGGGCCCCAACCATGTGGTTACTCTTTTCTTTTTTGTCAATCCTGGGTCTTGAACTCAGGGCCTGAGCTGCTTTGGCTCAAGGTTAGCACTCTACCATGAGCCACAGCACCACTTCCGGCTTCTTCTATGCATGCGGTGCTGAGGACGCCATGCATGCGAGGCGAGCACTCTCCCTAAGCCACACTCCCAGCCCGTTATTTACTCTTGAGACCAGTTCCTGCTAGGACTCCGGCCCTGGGCAGAATCAGCCAGGGGAGCCATGAGGACTCTGCTTGTGGGAAATGTCGCTCAGGGATTAGCTCAGCTGGAAGGTGGGACAGGTGCCGGGGGCCACAGCAGAGCCAAGGCCCTGAGGACCAGGCAGGGCCCAGCCTCACTGCTGGGCCTGGGGGACCCAGGACTCTGCCTGGCCACCGAGCCCAGCACCACAGGCACAGGGGCTGTGCCGAGTGTGCCTGTACGCTGTGCCTCCAGCCCCACCCCAGCCTTGGCCTGCTAGCGCTGGTGGCTAGGACTGCCCCAGGGTTTACGACAGTCCAGGTGTCCTGGCGCAGGCCCCGGGCCCCAGCGTGCGTTTATCCACAGCTGACGCTTGCTGGGCCTTGCGTTCTGTCCAGAGCGGGGAGGAGGCTGGCGGAGGGCACAGAGCAGGTCAGCAGCCCAGTGGGCCTCGCTGCCCGCTGCGGGGTGGCCCCGGAGGCCCCGACTCTCGGGCGCTGCCCGATCTTCCCAGGCCCGCAGTCACACATTTGTCACGGACTTCTCCGGGACGTTTCCCAGGCCTGGAGTCACCCGTTTGTCACAGGCTTCTTGGCTGTGGGCGAGGGCACACGGCCTAATGTATTCAATCCCAGCGGGCGTGGCCTCAGCCTTGCTGTTCCCGTTGCCTCCATGCTCAGGGCTCCGCCCTCCAGTCTCCAGGTCCGGCCTCCCTCTTCTCTGCCTCTGTGGTCTCCAGGCCTCGCCCCCTGCCCCAGCCCGAGGCCAGACCTGCCGGCCTCCACCCCGACTTCACCGCGGGGCCTGGGCCGCCGCCTGGCATCCTCTCTGAGCAGGGCCCAGCTGGGCCTGGGCTGCCAGCCCCCGGCCAGAGCCAGCACAGCTGATGAAGTTCCTGTTCTTTTCCACCATGCCCTGGCCTTCCCCGGGTTCTGGGAAATAGAAAGTTCTGTTCTGGGAACCCTCTGTCAGGGCTAGGGGAGGCGGGTCCCATCGGGTCCAGGTCAGCCCCAGGTAACGGCTGACTTCCTCCTAAGCAGTTGGCCAGCTCCATCCTGCTGGCAAGGGCGGGAAGCTGTGCCCTGCGTGTGGCTGCGTTGTCTGAGGGGTGGGGAAGGCGCAGGCAGAGCAGCTGGGGCCCCGCAAGCTGGGTGGCAAGTCTAAAAATGCCCTGTGAACTACAGTGCACGTGGTGCGCCCGCCCGACGCACAACCCACTACTTCCCTCCATCCTCCTAAAAATGCCCATCTAGGAGCTGCTTTGGGGACAGATTCGAGAATCTGTGGCTGCCCTGTCCCCTGGGGCTAGCCTGCACCGTTGAGTGTGCCAGGTCTTGGCGGGACAGTGGCCGGTGGGCTGGGCCAAACACCCCCAGGAAGGCCCGCAAGGCAGAGCTGGAATGAGGAAGGAGACTGTGCGGGCTGACTTCCGGTGGAAGACAGCTGGCCGGTGCTTGGGGCGGTTGTAGGCCCATTGATTTTGTAGGGGCAGGTGAGGTAGGGCAGAGGACCACATGCCTGACCCCCCTCTCCTGACCCCCCACCCCTCCCCTTCCCTCCCCTGATCCCCCTCCCACGACCCCCTTCCCCTGACCTCCCCTCCCCGACCCCCCACCCCTCTCCTGATGACCCTCCCCTCTCCTGACCCCCTACCCCTCCCCTGACCCCCCTCCCCTGACCCCTCCCCTTCCCTCCCCTGACCCCCCCCCTCCGCTGACCCCCCCCCTCCCCGCCCGATGACACTCACCGCCCTCCCCTGACCGTCCTCCCCTCCCCTGACCGCCCTCCCCGCCCCTGATGACCCTCACCGCCCTCCCCTGACCGCCCTCCCTGCCCCTGATGACCCTCCCCTCCCCTCCTATGACACTGGCAGGACACTGAGGAGGCGGAGGGGGACGGTGAGCCCCCAGCAGGCCCACAGGAAGCCTCTGCAGTGGGACCCAGGCGCAGGCTGTGGCTCGCCCCCCGGTTCTGGGTCACCGCGCACTGGCTGCTGGTGGCCGCCGGGCGGATGCTGGCCATCACACTGCTGGCGCTGGCAGGTACCTGAGGGGCGGGCGGGGGTGGGGATCCTGGGCTGGCCAGCGCTGGGGCCGCTCCCTGCGCTCCCTCCCCGCTGGCCGTTGGCTGGTGGACGCCAGCGTACCTTGCCTCCGCCCTGCAGGTATCGCCCAACCCTCGGCCTTCTCTAGCGTCTACCTGCTGCTCTTCCTGGCCATCTGCACCTGGTGGGCCTGCCACTTTCCCATCAGCCCCCTGGGCTTCAGCGCGCTCTGTGTTGTGGTGAGCTGCTTCAGCACCGGCCATCTCCTCTGCCTCTACTGCTACCAGATGCCCATTGCACAGGCTCTCCTCCCGCCGGACGACCTCTGTGCCAGGTGAGGGCTCCCGAACCACCCCAGTCCTGCCCTGGCCTGTCCAAGTCTTGGCTGCACCATCTCTGGGGCCTGTGGTCAGTGGCATGCCCTCTCTGGGCAGGTTGTTCGGTCTCAAGGACTTTGTGGGTCCCACCAACTGCTCCAGTCCCAATGCCCTGGTGCTGAACACCAGCCACGACTGGCCGAACTACGTGAGCCCCGGCATCCTGCTGCTGCTCCACTACACGGCCACCTCGCTCCTGAAGCTCCGTCGGCGTCGCCCCTTGGACCAGGTGAGCACCTCTTATCCCGCCTCGCAGGCCGGGGTCTGTGCAGCCTGCTGGAGGTGTGGGCTGAGCTCGGGGCCATGACTTGCAGAGGAAGGAAGTGGCCAGCGAGGATGAGCAACATGAGCTGGAGCTGGATCAGCTGGAGCGGGGGACCCAGGGCCAGCCCTGCGCTGCCGCTGGAGATGGGGAGGCCATGCAGGTGAGCAAGGGGCCGAGGGGGTGTGCCAGCCACCTGCGGCGGCCCGCTCACCCATCTCTCCTCACAGTGCCCAGCGCCCACGTCCACGGGGCCCGACACCAGCAACTGCATTGTGCACGACCTGACCGGCCAGAGCCCCATCCGGCAGCGCCCCGGTGAGTAGGCGCTCTTGAAGCCAGGGTGTCTGGATCCCTCTCCACCTGTGGGCAGGACTGGTGCTGCCCCCCAGTGGCCGCCAGGTCCTCTGCACCCTCTAGCCTTCTCTTGCTGTGCCCTCGAGGCCATCTGCAGCCATGTGGCTGCTCCCCGGCACACGCTGGGGGTCTCCAGCATCCCCTGGACCACGTGGCCCCGGGGAGAAGCAGCTGCAGGAGGCTGTTACTCCACAGTGCCGTGGAGAGGGCTGGGAACGGTGCCTGGGTTTCTTTCCTCACTGTGAGCTTTATTCTCTGTTGTGGGATTTGTCCTCTGTTGAAGTGTACGAGGTCACGGGCCCTCTGTGGAAGGGGGTAGGGTGGTCCTGTGTATCCTGGCCCTTCAGGGCCTTGTAAAGCGCGGGCAGCAGGGCTGTTTCCTGCCCCGTGCTCCGCCCTGGCCATGCGCTGGGCCACACTGCTCGCGGGCAGCACCGTGGGGCCTCGTGGGCTGTGGGAGTGGACCCCCAGGTGCCAGCCTCTGCCCCGCCCCCAGTGCACCCCAGGCTGGCTCAGCCGAGAGAGACGTCGCCGCTGCACGGCCTGGGCCACCTCATCATGAACCAGAGCTACGTGTGCGCCCTCATCGCCATGATGGTGAGAGGGGGGCCTGGGGCTCCCCAAGGTCCCCGAGGTCTCCGAGGTCCCCGAGGTTCCCCGAGGTCCCCCGAGGTCCCCGAGGCTCCCCGAGGTTCCCAAGGTTCCCGAGGGGCGGTGCGCTGGGAGGGGGTGGGGCGGGGCTGGAGACAGGCCCAGCATCCGTCCAGCAGACACGGGCTCTGACTGCTGCACAGAGCGCTGCCTGTGTGTGTGTGTGTGTGTGTGTGTGTGCGTGCGCACATGCGTGCGTGCGTGCCTCGCTAGGACCTGTCTGCATTGGTGGGCCGGGGAGCTGGACCGGGCACCCTAGGCAGCCCCTGCCCATGCCCTTCCGCCCAGGTGTGGAGCATCACCTACCACAGCTGGCTGACCTTTGTGCTGCTGCTCTGGGCCTGCCTCATCTGGACGGTGCGCAGCCGTCAACAGCTGGCCATGCTGTGCGCGCCCTTCCTCCTGCTCTACGGGCTGACGCTCTGCTGCCTGCACTACGTGTGGGCCATGAAGCTGCCCACCACCCTGGGCCCCGTCAGCCTCCGCCAGCTGGGGCTGCAGGACACTCGCTACCCCTGCCTGGACCTCGGCGCCATGGTACGTACGTCGCTACGTCGGATGGTGCGCCTGAGGTGAGGTCTGCTCCTGACCTGCTCGCTCGGTTGGGTAGAAACTCCAGGCGAGTAAGCTGTGTCCGGCGGTCACCTGTGGTACCGAGTCCCGCCAGGCCCCATAGCCATGCAGACACTGGTGCTGTGTGCTGAACATTGCTGCGCTCTGGGGCCAGCGCTGTGTCTTCTGGGACGCAGCACCGTGTGCACCACAGCCTGTGCGTTACCCCAGTCTCTGGCACTTGTGCCAGGTCAGGGTGTCCAGGCCACCTGGAGAGGGATGTCCCCAGGAAAGACAGGAGAGTGTCTGCCACCAGGCCCACTGACCATAATTATTCCATTGTGAGACTCGGGAGCCTCTCTGCACACTGAAGAGTGTTTTAATGTACACGTGTGTGCGTCTGTGTGATGAAACTGAGTGTGAGAACCTGCAACCTCATGTGCATCGTTTCGTGTGAGCATGTGTGAGTCTGTGTACAGAGGTGTGTGTCAGCCCAGCGAGGTCCTCTGTGGTGCCGGCCGCTGGGCCGGGCTCTTGGGTGAGGCCTGGGTCCTGGAAGCCCCCTGTGCTTGTTGCAGCTGCTCTACATGCTGACCTTCTGGCTCCTGCTGCGCCAGTTTGTGAAGGAGAAGCTGCTGAAGAGGGCAAAGCCGGCCGCCGCGTTGTTAGAGGTCACGGTGGCCGACACAGGTGAGGGGCAGGCCGAGGCGGGTGGCCGGCACGGGCCCCTGGTCGCCCGAGGCCATCCTCTTCCTCCGGCCCGGCCCCCAGAGCCCACGCGGATGCAGATACTGCTCCGGAGCCTGGGGGAGCTGGTCACGGGCATCTACGCCAAGTACTGGATCTACGTGTGTGCCGGCATGTTCATCGTGGTCAGCTTCGCCGGCCGCCTGGTGGTCTACAAGATCGTCTACATGTTCCTCTTCCTCCTGTGCCTCACCTTGTTCCAGGTGCCTGGTGGGCCGCAACGGGCCGGCGGTGGGCTGAGGTGCAGCCCCCCACGCCCCGGCTCACAGTCCCCCACCCGCAGGTCTACTACAGCCTGTGGCGGAAGCTGCTGCGCGTGTTCTGGTGGCTCGTGGTGGCCTACACCATGCTGGTGCTCATCGCCGTGTACACCTTCCAGTTCCAGGACTTCCCCGCTTACTGGCGCAACCTGACCGGCTTCACGGATGAGCAGTGGGTCCAGGCCCCGGCACGCCCACACCCTTCCGCCCGCCGCGGCCGCGGTGGACCCTGGGTCCGGCTGGCCGGGGCACTGATGGGCCTCTCCCGCCAGGCTGGGGGACCTGGGCCTGGAGCAGTTCAGTGTGTCGGAGCTCTTCTCCAGCATCTTCATCCCCGGCTTCTTCCTGCTGGCCTGCATCCTGCAGCTGCACTACTTCCACCGGCCCTTCATGCAGCTCACCGACCTGGAGCACGTGTCCCCGCCCGGCACCCGGCGCGCACGCTGGGCCCGCAGGTGTGGTCCCGGGCCACGAGGGAGGTTCAGAGCCTGACCGTGGCTTCTGCCTTCCACATGGCCCTGTGGGGGTCAGGGGCATTAGATGGTGTGGGCCGGGTGCGGGGCCCGGGCTCAGGGACCACTCGGTCTAGGCAAAGGCCCCGCCACGTCCGGGGCCCATGCAGCCATCCTGGCCACCGCGTGGGGAGCTCGGCGAGCGCGGGGGGCGTGTGGAGGAGGAGGGTGGGGCAGGGCCGGCAGTGACCGCTGGCTCTGGACTCTTGTCCAGGCAGGACACCGTGAGTGAGACCCCTCTGCTGCAGCAGGAAGAGGAGCTGGCCTTCAGGGAGGATGGCCCCCTCCACACCTCACAGGCCGCTGAGGGTGAGGGAGCCGCCGCCAGCCCGAGCCCTGGCCTGGGTCTCCGGTGCCAGTCCTGCTGTGGGCCTGGAGGCTGGCCCCCCTCACGGTCCTCCCCCTTCCCTCATGCCCCCCCAGCGTCCCTCCCTCCCCCTGGCAGTCCTCCCTCCCCCTCAAGGCTCTCCTTCCCCTCACGGTCTCCTCCCCCCTCATCATCCCCTCCCCCTCCCTCTCCCCTCCCCCTCCCCGTCCCCTCCCCCTCCCCGTCCCCTCCCCCCCACCGTCCCCCCCATCCCCCTCATGCCCCCTCACTCCCTGCCACAGGTTCAGTCAGCAAGTGGGGCCTGGTGGCTGAGCGGCTGCTGGACCTTGCGGCCAGCTTCTCGGATGTCCTCTCTCGCGTGCAAGTGTTCGTGCGCCGTCTGCTGGAGCTGCACGTCTTCAAGCTGGTGGCCCTGTACACCGTGTGGGTGGCGCTGCGGGAGGTGAGCGCGGGTGGCCAGGCGTCCCTCGAGCCGCGCCCTGGGTGCAGCTGGCCCCCGCTGCCCGCCGCCTCCCCCCACGCAGGTGTCGGTGATGAACCTGCTGCTGGTGGTGCTGTGGGCCTTCGCCACGCCCTACCCCCGCTTCCGGCCCATGGCCTCCTGCCTGTCCACCGTGTGGACCTGCATCATCATCGTGTGCAAGATGCTCTACCAGCTCAAGGTCGTCAACCCCCACGAGTACTCCAGCAACTGCAGCCAGGTGCGGGCTTTCGGGGGAGGGGTCCGCCCTGCCCGTGGGCCCTGGACTGTGACGCAGTGGAAGGGAAGGGACCTCGGGGCCAGGCCTGGGGCCGGGAAAGGCGCTCCGTGCGGCCCCATCCGGGGCTTTCTCTGCTCCACTGTCCTCCTCTTCCCGGGCATCTCTCTTCCCCCCGGCGCTGGCTGTTTCCCAAACGTCCAGCTCCCTGTTAGGGTGGCTCCGGCTGCCAGTCCTGTCCACCTGACCGGGTCAGCTGCTGTGTCTGCCTGGCGCTGATCTGGGAAGCGCTGACGCCCACCCTCTCCAACAGCCCCTCCCCAACAGCACCAACCTGCTGGCCTCGGAGATCAAGCAGTCCTTGCTGTACCGCGGGCCCGTCGACCCGGCCAATTGGTTTGGGGTGCGGAAGGGCTTCCCCAACCTGGGCTACATCCAGGTGAGCTGAGGGGTCGGCAGCCAGGCGGTCCGTCCCGGAGATGTCCCGAGGGCCCCCCGTGATGGCTGCTGACCCCCTTCCCGCTGAGGGGTCGGCGGCCAGGCGGTCCGTCCCGGAGACGTCCCGAGGGCCCCCCGTGACGGCTGCTGAACCCCTTCCCCACAGAATCACCTGCAGGTGCTGCTGCTGCTCGTGTTTGAGGCCATGGTGTACCGGCGCCAGGAACACTACCGCCGGCAGCACCAGCAGGTCCCGCTGCCTGCCCAGGCCGTGTGTGCCGACGGCAGCCGCCAGCAGCTGGACCAGGACCTGCTCAGCTGCCTCAAGTACTTCATCAACTTCTTCTTCTACAAGTTTGGGCTGGAGGTGAGACGGAGCGTCCACGCCTCGTTCCCCCGCGGGGCATGCTACTCGAGGGCCGAGGGGCCGCGTGGGCACGGGCTGCGCTGGGAGGCCTCGAGGGGGCTCCCCAGCACGGAAGCGAGGCTGTGGTACCCAGGAAGGCGAGGGGAGGCTGGGCCTTCCCATCAGGGGACGGGTGAGGCTGTCCAGTGTCTTAAGAGTCCACTGCCTGAGCCTGCTTGCTCCAGGCGTGGTGGAGACACATCTAGCTTTGACAGCCCTCCTGGGAGAGCAGGCCGTGTCCTCCCAGGCCGGGGTGTGGGCCCCCAGGGTGCCCTGCACGAGACGGGAGCCGACCCCGGCGTGCATCTCTGGGGGCCCTCCCAAGCCCGGGGCCCTGCATCATGCCGCTCCGCGTCCCCCCTCTTCCGTCCAGATCTGCTTCCTCATGTCTGTGAATGTGATCGGTCAGCGCATGGACTTCATGGTCATCCTGCACGGCTGCTGGCTGGTGACCATCCTGACCCGCCGGCGCCGGGGGGCCATCGCCCGCCTCTGGCCCAACTACTGCCTGTTCCTCACCCTCTTCCTGCTCTACCAGTACCTGCTGTGCCTGGGCATGCCGCCCGCCCTGTGCGTCGGTGAGCAGGCCGTGGCTGGGGCTGGGGGTGTCCACCTGTGCAGGCGTGCGAGGCCGTGTGGCTGCATGTGTGTGGTCTGTCTGCACGAAGGTCCGTTCCCCTCCGCCAGGCCCACGCCAGGCAGCACATGCGCTCACGCCACCCCTCGGTGTCCTCCGGGCCGTTGTTGGCTGTGCCCCAGCATATGTCACTCTGGGACAGGTCCTGGCCCCTTGGAGGTCTCCTTGCCTCTGGTTCTCGTCATCTCTTCCTCCTCCTCCCCCTCCTCCTCCTCCTCTTCTTTTTGGTGCCAGTCCTGTGGCTTTAACTTGGGGCCTGGGCACTGTCCCTGATCTTCATGCTCAATGCTAGCGCTCTACCCCTTGAGCCACAGCATCACTGCCAGTTTTCTAGTGGTTTATTAGAGATAAGAGTCTCACAGACTTTGCTGCCCGGGCTGGCTTTGACCTGAGATCCTCAGCTCTCAGCCTCCTGAGTAGCTAGGATGACAGGCGTGAGCCACCTGCCCCCGGCTGTGGACCTGTTTTTTTAACAGAAAGTGTCAGAGTTGTGGGCTGTGGGCTCCCAGGTGCTCTTCACCCGGTGTCCCTTCGTGCCAGCCGCGTCCACAGCCCGGCAATGATGCCAGGAGGGAGGGAACGCGGTGCGAGGCTCCCAACCGGGCAGTGCAGCGCTCGGCACGTGCCATCCGGACCCCGCGCTGCGGCCTGTCCCTGCTGCCGTCTGTAGGGACCCCTCAGCTCCCTGGGGAGCTCTGGACGGCTTTTTTAGTGCCGTCCCTGTGGACCCCAATAAGGTGCCCCCTGGGCCGCGCCAGGCAGCCCTGCCAGCTCCGCTCCACGCAGGGGGCCGTGGCCTCCTCTGGGGTCGAGCTGGGTCCCAGGCCGTCCCCTGCAGCTACTACCTTTCCCCTTGTTGGTTAGGCCTGCTGTGGAGGGGATACTGGAGACTGGGCTGAAGTCCTTTTTCTCCTCCGACATTGCGCACTAGACTTTCAGGCGTGTGGAGCCAGGCAGGCCGGGGGGGGGGGGGGGGGGGGGGGGGACTCCAGCACAATTGCTGTGTTCGGTCACTCCATCTTGTGGCTTTGGCCTCGGGTCCTGGGCCATCCTGACGCTCCTCCGTCCCACAGACTACCCATGGCGCTGGAGCCAGGCCATCCCCATGAACTCCGCCCTCATCAAGTGGCTGTACCTGCCTGACTTCTTCAGAGCCCCCAACTCCACCAATCTCATCAGTGAGTGACCCCAGCACAGCGCCCGCCCACCTGGGGCTACCACAGGACGGGGGGGGCGACGCGGGGCCTGCGCTGGCGGGCTTCCTGCGGAGCGTGGGCTCCGAGCCGTCAGGAGCTGGGCCGGCTCACCCACACAAGCGTGCGCCCATGTGTGCGTCGTGCTCTAGCACGCACGCAGACGTGGTGCGTGCACACGTCCCTCCCCACACAGATGCCGCTCGGGGGTCCCCCAGGCAGACACGGGCCCTGTGGCCTGTCCTGTGGCTCCCACCGACGGCCGCCCTGCGTCCCACAGGTGACTTCCTCCTGCTGCTCTGCGCATCCCAGCAGTGGCAGGTGTTTGCGGCCGAGCGCACCGAGGAGTGGCAGGGCATGGCTGGGCGCAACACCGACCAGCTGCCGCTGCTGCAGGAGGAGCCCAACCCCGTGCCCAACTTCATCTACTGCAGGTGGGTGCCGGGCCCTTCGGGAGGGGCGGCCGGGGCGCCGGGCGGCCTCTGACAGCTCTGTCCGCAGGTCCTACCTGGACATGCTGAAGGTGGCCGTGTTCCGCTACCTCTTCTGGTTCGTGCTCGTGGTGGTGTTTGTCACGGGGGCCACCCGCATCAGCATCTTCGGGATGGGCTACCTGCTGGCCTGCTTTTACCTGCTGCTCTTCGGGACCACGCTGCTGCAGAAGGACACGCGGGCCCAGCTCGTGCTGTGGGACTGCCTCATCCTGTACAATGTCACGGTCATCATCTCCAAGAACATGCTCTCGGTGAGCGCCCCCCCCACCCCCCGGCCCCCTTCCCCTGAGTCCCACCCCAGGAGCCAGGCTTGACTCCTCTCCCGCCCGCCCGCCCGCCCCCAGCTCCTGTCCTGTGTCTTTGTGGAGCAAATGCAGAGCGCCTTCTGCTGGGTGATCCAGCTTTTCAGCCTGGTGTGCACCGTCAAAGGCTACTACGACCGTGAGTGGGTGAGGCCCGTGGGCCGGCGGAGGGGCACAGGGACCCCGGCCGCCTCTGGCCCTGACCCTGCCCACGCCGGCCCCTCCCCCACAGCCAAAGAGGTGATGAGCAGGGACAAGGACTGTCTGCTGCCTGTGGAGGAGGCTGGCATCATCTGGGACAGCGTCTGCTTCTTCTTCCTGCTGCTTCAGCGGCGCGTGTTCCTCAGCCACTACTTCCAGCACGTCAGCGTGGACCTGCAGGCCACAGCCCTGCAGGCCTCCAGGTCGGCCAGGCCCTGGCCCCGGGCTACCGTGGAGGAGCATCTCCACTCCCTGAGAGGGAGCTGCAGGGCCCTTGGCCCGCTGGCTCCACCACATGCTGATCCCAAAGGAAGGGGCCGTGCTGGGCCACGGCCCCCATAAGGTGTCACAGGGGAGCCAGCTCACCGTGCTGAGCTCAGGCTCAGGGCCCGGCCCTGGGTGTGAGCACCCACATCCCCCTGGGCAGGCTTTGTGCCTAGGAGAATGGAGGGAACAGGAATCTCCCAGAGTGTGCCCCAGGGCCCTTCTGTGGGAGCAGGAGGCCCAAGCGTGCATGCACGGGCAGGGTGGTGGGCCTGGCCAAGCCCACAGGCAAGAGGAAGCCCATGGGGCTGGACCTGAAGTCTGGGCCTCACTCTCTTCCGCAGGGGCTTTGCCCTCTACAATGCGGCCAACCTCAAGAGCATCGACTTCCACCGCAAGACGGAAGAGAAGTCCCTGGCCCAGCTGAAGAGACAGTAGGTGCCCTTGGAGCTGGGCGGCAGCCCTGGGCCGCTGGCGGGCCGCCTGGCGCTCAGCCCTCTCCCCCTCGCAGGATGAAGCGCATCCGTGCCAAGCAGGAGAAGTACAGACAGGGCCGCGCGGGCCGCGGCCGAGCCCGGTCCCCCGATGCCGAGGACCCCGACCAGGAGCCAGGTGGGTGTGGTCTCTGCCCTCCGGAGCCTGCCTGCATGTGTCCTGCATGTGTCCCGCGTGACATCCCCAGGGCTCCCGGCCCACCTGTCCTCGTGAGGTGGTCTCTGCCCCAGCGGGCTGCTGGCTGTCGGCCCCGTGTCTGTCTGCCTTCGCTCTCGGCCCGGGCCCAACCCTGCGTCACGGCACGGCACCCGTCAGCGTTGGAGCTCCTCCCGTAGCCTCACGCCTGCCCCACCCCTCCACAGGGCCTGTCAGCCCCGGGGGCTCCTCCCTGCCACGCAGACAATGGTGGCGCCCCTGGCTGGACCACGCCACAGGTACTCGCCTGGGCCACTCTCCGCCCCACTGCCACTCGCTCTCGCCTCACCTCACGGCTTCTCGTCCCGTCTGGTCTCGTCCTTTGCTCTGGCCTGTGTCCTGTTCACGCCTTGTCCTCGTGGTCCTCCTGCGTGGGGCCCAGGGGATTCGACACTGGCGAGGCCGCGTGGGAGGGAGCGGGTGAAGGGCACCTGGGCTGGGGCGAGGGCGCTGCCGGGGCCGGCCCCACGCCGGGAAGGAACCAGCTCGTCGGTATTGTGCCCAGGCGTGGGGTCCGACTCTCACCCCCACTCTGTCTGCAGTCATCCACTCCGGGGACTACTTCCTGTTTGAGTCGGATAGTGAGGAGGAAGAGGAGGCCCTGCCCGAGGACCCCAGGCCCTCAGCCCAGAGTGCCTTCCAGGTGCGTGCGGCTCTGCCTGAGCCCTCCCGTGCCAGGCAGTGGGAAGGTCAGACCCCAGGGGGCTCCAGCCTCCTGGAAAGCCACGCTGTAGGGAAGGGATCTCCACCGACTCCCGCTTCTCCTGCCTCCCAAAGTCCCAGCTCTGACTCCCTAGGTGCCCCCAGCTCAGGAAGGGCTGTGTGCTTGTTGGCCACAGCTGTGTCCTGGCCCGAGTGGCCAGGGCATGCTGGGTGGCTGCATGTCTGGGTCCTGCCGTAGCCCTCGGAGTTTCAAGAAGGTGCAAGCCCCCAACCAGGCAGGCAGCTGCGCCTAATTCCCCTTCCTTGGAACTGGGCTGACTCGGAACCGGCTCACGAGAGTGCTAACTGCTCCGTGACCTGCAGATGGCGTACCAGGCGTGGGTGACCAATGCGCGGACGGTACTCAGGCAGCGGCAGGAGCGGGCAGGGCACCTGCATGCGGGTGAGCTGCTGGGGTAGGGGCTGTGGTAGGGAGCCGCCTGGCCGCCAGCTGCTGACCGGCCCCCGTTCCCAGGAGGCAGCCCCAGCCAGGAAGAGCAGCCGGCGGAGGCCCTGGAGAATGAGGCGGCAGGTAGGTGGGCCCACGGGCTGCAGGGCGGGGGGCTGTCCGGGCTGGCCTCCCCTCCAGAGCCCCTGTGCCCTCCCCGCAGGCCGGAGCCACATGCTACAGCGTCTGCTGAACACGCTGCAGTTCCTGTGGGTGCTGGGGCAGGCCACGGTGGACGGGCTGACGTGCTGGCTTCTGGCCTTCACGAGACACCACCACACCATGAGTGACGTGCTGCGGGCCGAGCGCTACCTGCTCACGCAGGAGCTCCTGCGGGTGAGCGTCGCAGGGCAGTGCAGGCTCGTGGGGTGGGCCCCGGGTCTGCGGTGCTGAGCACCTCCCTGTGCCCCACAGGGCGGGGAGGTGCACCTGGGCGTGCTGGATCAGCTTTACTTCGAGGAAGCTGAGACCGTCCTGGAGGGCCGCGACGGGCCCAGCGCGGCCTCAAGGTGGGTGTGGGGCCTGGGAAGCTGGCATGCACCTGTGCCTGGCCTCAGGGTGTGATCACCCATCCTCACGCCCCTCCCCTGAGCCTGAGGGCTGGCCACCTGGAACCCTCTCTCCCGCAGCGGGCTGGGGCCCGAGGAGCCGCTGAGCAGCATGACAGATGACACGGGAAGCCCCCTGAGCACCGGCTACAACTCCCGCAGCGGCAGCGAAGAAATTGTCTCAGACTCAGGGGATCCCGAGGCTGGGGGTCCCCTGCAGGGTTCCCAGGAGCTGCTGGCCCATGCTCACACGCGCACGCGCACAGCCAGCGAGCTGCTCCTGGACAGGTGCGGCCCGTGAGGGGCGGGGGGGGCGGGGGGTGGCCAGGGACAGGCCGAGGCTTCGGTTGATGGGGTGGTGAAGCCCGGGGGTGGCGGAGCTGGGGGACAAACCTGGGGAGGGAGGGACGCTGGCAGAATACGGGGGGCCTGGGGGGGATGCCTGGGGAGGGAGGGCCTGGGGGGGGGATGCCTGGGGAGGGAGGGATGCCGGCGAGGGGGGATGCCAGGGCAGGAGGGGAGCTGGGGAGGGGTGGCGGGCCCGCCCGGGCCTCCGTGCCCGAGGCCCCCAGCTCTCGGGTCTCGACAGGCGTCTGCACATCCCGGAGCTGGAGGAGGCAGAGCAGTTCGAGGCCACCCAGGGCCGGACGCTGCGGCTGCTGTGGGCGCTCTACCAGTGCGTGGCCGCGCACTCAGAGCTGCTCTGCTACTTCATCATCCTCCTCAACCACATGGTCACAGCCTCGGCCGCGTCGCTGGTGCTGCCCGTGCTGGTCTTCCTGTGGGCCATGCTGACCATCCCCAGGCCCAGCAAGCGCTTCTGGATGACGGCCATCGTCTTCACGGAGGTGGGGGCTGCAGGGGGTTGGAGGCGGCTGCGGAGGGGGGCCCGGGGCCTGGCCCCGTGCTGAGCGCCCGGCCCCACAGGTCATGGTGGTCACCAAGTACCTGTTCCAGTTCGGCTTCTTCCCGTGGAACAGCCACACAGTGCTGCGGCGCCAGGAGAACAAGCCGTACTTCCCGCCGCGCATCCTGGGCCTGGAGAAGACGGACGGCTACATCAAGTACGACCTGGTGCAGCTCATGGCCCTCTTCTTCCACCGCTCCCAGCTGCTGGTGAGCGCCGGGGCTGTGGTGGTGCTGGCGGGCCCCCAGGAGCCCGGGCCGCCGCCTCACCTTCCTCCCCGCTCCGCCCACAGTGCTACGGCCTCTGGGACCACGAGGAGCACCCCCTCTCCAAGGAGCACAGCAGGAGCAGGGGGCAGGGCCCGGGGGCGGAGGAGAGGCCCGTCGCCCCGCCAGGACCCCAGGCTGAGGTGGGCACAGGGTATCCAGAGGGACCGGGGCTGCCTGCGGCCACCACGGACATCCAGGGAGAAGCGAGCGTTGGAGCCAAAGACGGGAGCCCAGAGCCTCAAGCGGAGCTCAGAGCCCAGGACTCAAGGCACCTGAGCCTGCGCTTCAGAGGAAGACAGCAGAGCCCAGCCGTCGGTACATCCCCCCCCCCCCCCCCCCCCCGGCCCCGGAGGCCCCGCACACAACTCTGGACCAGCCCTGTTCCCGGGAGGGTGGAGACAGCACTGTAGCCCAGCACTGGGAAGAGCAGGGCCATGAGCCTCTGACCTTCCCGGGGAAGAAGCCCTCACGGCTGCCTCCAGGGCTGACCTCTGCGAGGCTCCTTCACGACCACCCCAGGGGCCCGCCCAGGCTAGCAGGCACCGGAGAAAGATTGTTATAAGGTTCCTTACAGAGGCCATAGCTCCCCAGGACAGGAGCAATATGGCGTCAGCTCCCTTCTAGGAGGATAGCTCTGGGGCAAGCGGCCCGCCCAGGTCTGGGGAACAGAGGAGGCGGCCAGCTGCATGGCCAGCCAGACTGTAGGACAGGGAGGCTCTCAGGTCTGGCTGGAGCCGAGGACCGGAGGCCGGATCATGCGAACATCCTCCACCTCAGCTCCTCCACCTCAGCTGCTCCTCCACCTCAGCTCCTCCACCTCAGCTGCTCCTCCACCTCAGCTCCTCCACCTCAGCTCCTCCTCCACCTCAGCTCCTCCACCTCAGCTCCTCCTCCACCTCAGCTGCTCCTCCACCTCAGCTCCTCCTCCACCTCAGCTCCTCCACCTCAGCTCCTCCTCCACCTCAGCTCCTCCTCCACCTCAGCTGCTCCTCCACCTCAGCTGCTCCACCTCAGCTCCTCCACCTCAGCTCCTCCACCTCAGCTGCTCCTCCACCTCAGCTCCTCCACCTCAGCTCCTCCACCTCAGCTGCTCCTCCACCTCAGCTCCTCCTCCACCTCAGCTCCTCCTCCACCTCAGCTCCTCCACCTCAGCTGCTCCTCCACCTCAGCTCCTCCACCTCAGCTCCTCCTCTACCTCAGCTCCTCCTCCACCTCAGCTCCTCCACCTCAGCTCCTCCTCCACCTCAGCTCCTCCACCTCAGCTCCTCCTCCATCTCAGCTGCTCCTCCACCTCAGCTCCTCCTCCACCTCAGCTCCTCCTCCACCTCAGCTCCTCCACCTCAGCTGCTCCTCCACCTCAGCTCCTCCACCTCAGCTCCTCCTCCACCTCAGCTCCTCCACCTCAGCTCCTCCTCCATCTCAGCTGCTCCTCCACCTCAGCTGCTCCTCCACCTCAGCTCCTCCACCTCAGCTCCTCCTCCACCTCAGCTCCTCCACCTCAGCTCCTCCTCCACCTCAGCTCCTCCACCTCAGCTCCTCCTCTACCTCAGCTCCTCCTCCACCTCAGCTCCTCCACCTCAGCTCCTCCACCTCAGCTCCTCCACCTCAGCTGCTCCTCCACCTCAGCTCCTCCTCCACCTCAGCTCCTCCTCCACCTCAGCTCCTCCTCCACCTCAGCTCCTCCACCTCAGCTCCTCCTCCACCTCAGCTCCTCCACCTCAGCTCCTCCACCTCAGCTCCTCCTCCACCTCAGCTCCTCCTCCACCTCAGCTCCTCCACCTCAGCTCCTCCACCTCAGCTGCTCCTCCACCTCAGCTGCTCCTCCACTTCAGCTCCTCCACCTCAGCTCCTCCACCTCAGCTCTTCCTCCACCTCAGCTCCTCCTCCACCTCAGCTCCTCCACCTCAGCTGCTCCTCCACCTCAGCTGCTCCTCCACTTCAGCTCCTCCACCTCAGCTCCTCCTCCACCTCAGCTGCTCCTCCACTTCAGCTCCTCCACCTCAGCTCCTCCACCTCAGCTCTTCCTCCACCTCAGCTCCTCCTCCACCTCAGCTCCTCCACCTCAGCTCCTCCACCTCAGCTGCTCCTCCACCTCAGCTCCTCCACCTCAGCTGCTCCTCCACCTCAGCTGCTCCTCCACCTCAGCTGCTCCTCCACCTCAGCTCCTCCTCCACCTCAGCTCCTCCACCTCAGCTGCTCCTCCACCTCAGCTGCTCCTCCACCTCAGCTCTTCCACCTCAGCTCTTCCTCCACCTCAGCTGCTCCTCCACCTCAGCTCCTCCACCTCAGCTCCTCCACCTCAGCTCCTCCTCCACTTCAGCTCCTCCACCTCAGCTCCTCCACCTCAGCTCTTCCTCCACCTCAGCTCCTCCTCCACCTCAGCTCCTCCACCTCAGCTGCTCCTCCACCTCAGCTGCTCCTCCACTTCAGCTCCTCCACCTCAGCTCCTCCTCCACCTCAGCTGCTCCTCCACTTCAGCTCCTCCACCTCAGCTCCTCCACCTCAGCTCTTCCTCCACCTCAGCTCCTCCTCCACCTCAGCTCCTCCACCTCAGCTCCTCCACCTCAGCTGCTCCTCCACCTCAGCTCCTCCACCTCAGCTGCTCCTCCACCTCAGCTGCTCCTCCACCTCAGCTGCTCCTCCACCTCAGCTCCTCCTCCACCTCAGCTCCTCCACCTCAGCTCCTCCACCTCAGCTCCTCCACCTCAGCTCCTCCTCCACTTCAGCTCCTCCTCCACCTCAGCTGCTCCTCCACCTCAGCTGCTCCTCCACCTCAGCTGCTCCTCCACCTCAGCTGCTCCTCCACCTCAGCTCCTCCACCTCAGCTCCTCCACCTCAGCTCCTCCTCCACCTCAGCTCCTCCTCCACCTCAGCTGCTCCTCCACCTCAGCTGCTCCTCCACCTCAGCTCCTCCTCCACCTCAGCTCCTCCACCTCAGCTCCTCCACCTCAGGGCTCCTCCAGCTCAGGGCTAACCCCTAGGTGGTGAGCAGAGGGGAGTCACTGTGCTCAGTCTGTGAAGCGGAGTGATGCCTGCTCCTGGGGGGGTCTGGAGCTGTGGCAGCTCTTGCTAGACTGAGTCAGCACGGCCTTTCCCACAGAGTCTAACGACAGGGAGGAAGAGGAGGAGACACAGGACACAGGAAGACAGCAGCCAAGCCTCTGCCGAGAAAGAATGAAGGCAGCTGGGCGCCGGCTGCAGAGCTTCTGCCTGAACCTGTGAGTGAGGGGAGGAGGGAGGAGGGAGGGGAGAGGGAGGGGAGGAAGGAAGGAGAGGGGGGCGGGCACTTCGCTGGGGTCACAGCTACCCGCCCCCAGGGCCCAGAGCGTGTCCCAGCCCCTGCGGCAGTTCTTCCACGACATTCTGCACACCAAGTACCGAGCGGCCACCGACGTGTATGTGCTCATGTTCCTGGCAGACGTAGTTGACTTCATCATCATCATCTTTGGCTTCTGGGCCTTTGGGGTGAGCCAGCCTGCCCCCTGACTAGGGGTGGAGGGTGCCGCTGCGGGGCCCCCACTTCCGCTCCCCCTGACCAGAGCTCTCCCCCCACAGAAGCACTCGGCGGCCACGGACATCACGTCCTCACTGTCGGACAACCAGGTGCCCGAGGCCTTCCTGGTCATGCTGCTCATCCAGTTCAGCACCATGGTCATCGACCGTGCCCTCTACCTGCGCAAGACCGTGCTGGGCAAGCTGGCCTTCCAGGTGGTCCTGGTGCTGGCCATCCACCTCTGGATGTTCTTCATCCTGCCGGCTGTCACAGAGAGGTGCGCCTCCTACCCCCGGGGCCCCAGTCTGTCCAGGCTCAGGGCACTCGCTGTGCGTGGCATTGGTGGGGCTCTGCAGCTCCGCTCTAACCAGGCCTCTGCCCTGCTCCCAGGATGTTCCGCCAGAACACCGTGGCCCAGCTGTGGTACTTCGTAAAGTGCATCTACTTTGCCCTGTCCGCCTACCAGATTCGGTGCGGCTACCCGACCCGCATCCTTGGCAACTTCCTCACCAAGAAGTACAACCATCTGAACCTCTTCCTCTTCCAGGGGTGAGCGTGGGCTCCCTGGGCATGGCGCAGCGGGAGGGGCCAGGACGGCAGGCCTGTTGCCGTGGGTCCGGGAAGGGCCCACCTGACAGGAAACTGGCCTTGACAGGTTCCGGCTGGTGCCGTTCCTGGTGGAGCTGAGGGCAGTCATGGACTGGGTGTGGACGGACACCACCCTGTCCCTGTCCAACTGGATGTGTGTGGAGGACATCTACGCCAACATCTTCATCATCAAGTGCAGCCGGGAGACAGAGAAGGTAGGTGTGGGACTGAGGGCATGGGATGCGGCCCCACGGTGCTGGCATCCTGAAAGGAACTTTCTGAAGCTCCTCTGGGCTGGGGCAGGAGGACACTGGGTCTCCTGAGGGGTTCACAGAAGCGCGGGAGGGAGGAGAGCCTGGTGGAGGTGGAGGAGCTTTGGTTCTTCACTGCGGGTACAGGTTGGTGCTCTGGTGTATTGACGCAGCTGTGCACCTACCACAAGTCCAACTTAGGACACTTCCACCACTCCACAAAGCAAGCCTGGTTCTGGCCCCACTACCAGCCACTGTCTGTGCTGATCCCACAAAAGAACTCTCGTCTGCTTCCCGCCTCTGCCCACCGCCCTCCCAGCAGTTTCCCCATGGCCCAGCCAGTCAGTGCTCCACTCCTTTCCACGCTCAGGCGGTGCTCTCCGGTGTGTCCAACCTCTGGCCAGTCTCTAGGCCGTCTGCCCGCGTGCCCCCCCCCCCCCCCCGTGGCAAGTGTGAGCCACCGGTGCTCCGTCCACGGTCGCAGAGCTGCTGTGGGCCTATGTGGAGGAGTGGCCCGCCTTCAAGTAGCTGCACTGCGCTGGCGCTGCATTCTTACCAATAGGGCCTCTATTCCTCGGCGGCCACCCTTTAGCCATGAGGCCATGTCTGCCTCCGGCCGTCAGTTCCTAGCAGGAACTCAATAGATGCCAGCCACTGGGGCTCAGCTAGGCCACAGCTTCTGCCACATGTGGCTGCCTCCAGTTTTGCCTGCATTTTGCTCAAGCTCTTGGTGTTCTGTCTGCAACTTCTGCCAAATCCAGGCCACCGTGTAGCTGTCTTGCTGAGATTTAAACTCAAGCTCTGATCTTGAGTCCACCCTTTATACGTGCAGCAAGGGGCACGTGTGTTCTCGGGCACGTGCAGCGTCCCATTCCTGCTGAACGCTCCCAGCACCTCATCCAGGGCCCCATGACCACATCGGGGTTTGTTTCTGCACTTCAGGTCTGTTCAGCGACCTGTCTGTCTGTCCTGCGCCAACACTATGGGTTTGTGCAGATGCTGCCTTGTGATTTAGACCACGGGCCTGTGAGGGGTGGGAGTGACCCGCGTCTCCCCTAGAAATACCCGCAGCGTGACCTGCGTCTCCCCTAGAAATACCCGCAGCCCAAAGGGCAGAAGAAGAAGAAGATCGTCAAGTACGGCATGGGCGGTCTCATCATCATCTTCCTCATCGCCATCATCTGGTTCCCGCTGCTCTTCATGTCTCTGGTGCGCTCTGTGGTGGGCGTGGTCAACCAGCCCATCGACGTCACCGTCACCCTCAAGCTGGGGGGCTACGAGGTGGGTGGTTCCCAGCCCGGTCAGCTCCCACCTGGGAGACAGAGTAAGGCTGTCCCAAGGCCACTTGTGCACAAACCCTCATGTGGGCCACCCCACCATATAGAGCTCCATGTGCAGACTCCCGTGTGGCCCCTGTGCACAGCTCCCCCCCCCCGTGTGGCCCCTGTGCACAGCCCCCCCACCCCGCGTGGCCCGTGTGCACAGCCCCCCCACCATATAGAGCCCCATGTGCAGACCCCCGTGTGGCCCGTGTCCACAGCTCCCCCACCATATAGAGCCCCATGTGCAGACCCCCGTGTGGCCCGTGTCCACAGCTCCCCCACCATATAGAGCCCCATGTGCAGACCCCCGTGTGGCCCCCGTGCACAGCCCCGCCCCGCATGGCCTGTGTGCACAGCTCTCCCCCCCACCCCACGTGGCCCGTGTCCACAGCTCCCCCCCCGTGTGGCCCCTGTGCACAGCCCCCCCACCCCGCGTGGCCCGTGTGCAGCCCCCGTGCACAGCTCGCCGCATTGTCCCCCCAGCCCCTGTTCACCATGAGCGCCCAGCAGCCCTCCATCGTGCCCTTCACGCCCCAGGCTTATGAGGAGCTGTGCCGACAATTTGACACCCACCCGGTGAGTGGCCCCTACGTGGCCTCCACTGGGCGGGGCAGGCGGTGGCCTGGTGGTGGTGGGGGCACATCCCCCACTGAGGACCCCCCTCCCGGCCCCGCCGCAGCTGGCCATGCAGTTCATCAGCCAGTACAGCCCTGAGGACATCGTCACGGCGCAGATCGAGGGCAGCTCGGGGGCGCTGTGGCGCATCAGCCCGCCCAGCCGCGACCAGATGAGACGAGAGCTGTACAACGGCACGGCCGACATCACCCTGCGCTTCACCTGGAACTTCCAGAGGTAGGAGCCGGCCCGGGGACCCGGGCGGCCCCGCGGGCTCACCGCGAGCGCGTGCAGCGGCTCAGCTATGCCCCCGCCTCAGGGACCTGGCCAAGGGTGGCTCGGTGGAGTACACCAACGAGAAGCACACCCTGGAGCTGGCCCCCAACAGCACAGAGCGCCAGCAGCTGGCCCGCCTGCTGGACGGCACGTCTGACCACTCCGTGTGAGTGAGGGCCCTGCGGGCTGGTGGGGGCCGGGGGTGAGCTGGCCCTGACCTGCCGGCCCCACCACAGGGTCATCCCCCACCTTTTCCCCAAGTACATCCGGGCCCCCAATGGGCCAGAAGCCAACCCCGTGAAGCAGCTGCAGCCAAGTGAGTGTGGGTGTCCGGGCCTGGGGGTGGGGTTGGGGGGGAGGGGACAGGACCTCGGCCCCGGGGGGATGGGGCAGTGGCCCGTGGCTGCTCCAAGCGTCCCCCGGCTCTGACCCAGTGGAAGAAGCCGACTACCTCGGTGTGCGCATCCAGCTGTGGAGGGAACGAGGGGGAGCGGGGGCTGCCGGCTTCCTGGAGTGGTGGGTCATCGAGATGCAGGACTGCCACAGCAACTGCAACTTGCTGCCCATGGTCATCTTCAGTGACAAGGTCAGCCCGCCCAGCCTTGGCTTCCTGGCCGGCTATGGGTGAGTCTGGAGGTCTGGGTGGCCCGTGGCTGGGTGGCTCAGGCGGCAGCCCGGGCCTCACTCTCCTTTCCTGGCAGGATCATGGGGTTGTACGTGTCCATTGTGCTGGTCATCGGCAAGTTTGTGCGGGGCTTCTTCAGCGAGATCTCACACTCCATCATGTTTGAAGAGCTGCCTTGCGTGGACCGCATTCTCAAGCTGTGCCAGGACATCTTCCTGGTGCGGGAGACTCGCGAGCTGGAGCTGGAGGAGGAGCTGTATGCGAAGCTCATCTTCCTGTACCGCTCGCCAGAGACCATGATCAAGTGGACGCGAGAGAAGGAGTGAGCCCCGCCTTCCCGCCCTGGGTGCTGGGAATGAAGGAGCCGCCAGCACAGGCGGCACTGTTGACTGGGGTGGCTGCTCCCCGGCCCCAAGCCCACCAGCTGTGACAACTCCACGGCCCACCCGAGCCCCGATGCTGCTGTCAGAAGGACGCTGTGTCCCACCCGAGCCCCGTGGGCCTAGCCTAGTCCACGGCCAGCCAGCTGGGCCTGGAGGCCCAGCCCCATGCGTACTGTAGAGTTTTCTAATTAAAAATGTTTTTATTTATACAAATAGACAATGGTGGGCCAGGCCCATCCTGCCCTGACTCCCGCCCTGCGCCGACGGCCCTCCCACACCGGCCAGGTGTGTCCTCCGGGCTCAGCTCTGACCCTGCTCAGCCTCGCTGTCACTGTCCTCAATCAGGTACTCCTGGATCTCCTGCATGACCAGGTCCCTGCAGAGCACACAGTGAGCACCGGGCGGGTCGGGAGGGCCGGACACCACAAGGGACTTCGCAGCTCAGGCGTCACTTACCTCTGCCTGCGGGACTGGGCCTCCGCCAGGATGTAGGGGGGCAGCGAGTCCTGGGAGGGCTGCAGGAAAAGAAGCCAGGAGGGGTGAGGGGCGGCGAGCATGCCTGTGCCCACGGCTGGGAGAGGAGCATCCACTCACCACGTCCTTCATGGTGACCCGACAGCTGTAGCACAGCTGCTCGGTGACGCAGGCTGGGGCCTCCTCCCTGGGGAAGCAGAGTGGACCTGTGGAGCTGGCTCTGCTCAGGCCCTGGTGTCCCCCTCTTCCAGCTGCAGGGAGATGGGGCAGGGACTCACCTCCCACAGGCCGACCCGCAGCAGGCCTGGCCCCTGCCTGGCTTCAGGCTGCTGCAGCAGGGTGAAGTGGGAGTCCCACACTCAGCCTGGGGTGTTTTTGAGCGACGCAAAGAGGTCTGAGCCCCAAAGGCAGTGGCACTATCTGCAAACAGAGAGGGGTGAGGGCACCGAGAGCCCGGAACGCCAGCCCGCCCCCGGCTGGCCTACTCCCGCCCGGCCCCTACCGTCGGTGTCGATGTCCAGCGCACACATGCACAGGAGGCAGTGGGAGCCGGGGGGGCCAGCAGCGCAGCCCTCCCTGGGGGACTTGGCCAGCTTCTCGCTCGTCCTGCGGGTAGGCGGGGAAAGTCACGGGCACCACCCCCGGCCAAGCCTCGCTGTGGGCTCAGCACCCCCTGCATGCACACCTGTACACGGTGCTGATGGTGGAGGGGAACTGGGTCTGCAGCCGGAGGATGAAGGCCTCCATCAGACGGTGGATGCTCGCCTTCTCGGGCGCCTGGGGGGAGGAGGGGCGGGGGAGGTGGTGAGGGCAGGATTTCACACACCGGCCCTGCTCCCACAGTGGGGCAGGGACGTCCGCTCTGTGGCCCCGTGAGGCCACAGCCTCTCATCAGGAATGACAGGACAACGTAGGGTTCTTATCAGCTGGCGTGTGCCAAAGGGGAGGGCGCCCAGGCAGACCCACCTTGGTGTCGATGGCCGGCGTGAAGACCGACGGCACGGCGAACAGGCGGTTGTAGAAGACCACCTCTTTCAAGGTGTGGTCCCTCATGGGCCGCACCACCACCACGTCCCCGTGCCGCTCATCCGAGAAGCCCTGAGGGGTGCAGCGGGTGACCCTGGTCCTGCCTGAGGCGGGGCCAGACCGCTCCCCCAGGCGAGGTTGCCACCCAGAGGCTTTCACCTGAGGCACAGGGGCACCTGGCCCCGCCCCCGCGTACGTGTCCCGCCCCCGCGTACCATGTCCCCGCCCCCCTGCGTACCGTGTCCCTGCCCCCGCGTACGTGTCCCCGCCCCCTGCGTACCGTGTCCCTGCCCCCGCGTACGTGTCCCCGCCCCCTGCGTACTGTGTCCCTGCCCCTGGTGTCCCCGCCCCTGCGTACCATGTCCCCGCCCCCGCGTACGTGTCCCCGCCCCCTGCGTACTGTGTCCCTGCCCTTGGTGTCCCTGCCCCTGGTGTCCCTGTCCTTACGCGTCCCCGCCCCCACGTACTGTGTCCCTGTCCTTACGCGTCCCCGCCCCCTCGTACCGTGTCCCTGCCCCTGGTGTCCCCGCCCCCGCATACCTTGTCCCCGCCCCCGCGTACCGTGTCCCTGCCCCTGGTGTCCCCGCCCCCGCATACCTTGTCCCCGCCCCCGCGTACCTTGTCCCCGCCCCCTCGTACCGTGTCCCTGCCCCTGGTGTCCCCGCCCCCGCGTACCGTGTCCCTGCCCCTGGTGTCCCTGTCCTTACGCGTCCCCGCCCCCTCGTACCGTGTCCCTGCCCCTGGTGTCCCCGCCCCCGCATACCTTGTCCCCGCCCCCGCGTACCGTGTCCCTGCCCCTGGTGTCCCCGCCCCCGCATACCTTGTCCCCGCCCCCGCGTACCTTGTCCCCGCCCCCTCGTACCGTGTCCCTGCCCCTGGTGTCCCCGCCCCCGCATACCTTGTCCCCGCCCCCGCGTACCTTGTCCCCGCCCCCTCGTACTGTGTCCCTGCCCCTGGTGTCCCCGCCCCCGCATACCTTGTCCCCGCCCCGCGTACGTGTCCCCGCCCCCGCGTACTGTGTCCCAGGCGAGGAAGGCGCCTCTCCCCAGGGCCAGGTTGGTCATGAGCTTGATGGCCAGGCGGGTGCAGCTGTCCCCCATCATCACCTTGGAGTAGCCGTGGACTCGGGCCACGTGCAGGATCAGGTGGGCCCTGTGAAGGAGCAGCGGGCGTTGCAGAGGCCAGCCGGGGTCCCAGAGGCAAGGGCAGGGCCCCGGGCGCGGGCTCACCGCAGGGTCTGCAGAAGCTCCTCCTTGGCCGTCAATGTCTTCACGGAGTTGAACAGCCTGGACAGAGCCGCAGTCTGCGCAGCTGTAGGGGACCTGGTGTGGCCTGGGTGGGGTAGGCACGTCTGTTCTCCCCCCTGAGCCGGGCCGCGGCTGCCCTCTGAGCCCAGCTGGTGCTGCAGAAAGCTGCCCACTGCTGCCTTGTAGCCCTCCTCCGTCCCTCCTGGCTCCCGGGCAGGGCAGCGAAGCACTGACGGCGGCAGGCTGAACACCTGCCAGGATGCCAGAGGCCAATGAGCTCAGGGCCCAGCCTAGAGAAGCATGGGAGCAGGAATGGGCACACCCATCGCCCTCCAGGTCCTTTCCCAGGACAGTCCAGCCACCTCTTCTAAAGCGACCACGTGCCACGGGAAGCCAACGCTCTGCAGGATCCGCTGCACCTCAGCCAGGGTTTCTGCTCGGCCTTCCGGGCTCTGGCCACAGACTGCTCCCTCTGCAGTGGGAAAAGGAGGATGCGGACTTGCAGAGATGCCTGGGGCGGGGAAGGAGGGGACCAACGCCCGCACGGCCAGACTCCGTACAGGGGCGGTTCTGAGGTTCTGGCAGCAGGTACCTCTCCAGAGCGAAAGAGGCCACATAGCCCTCCACATCCTACCCAACACCGGCACTGAACACAGGACAGGGCAGGCACTCGGCCCCTCGCCCCAAATCTGGGCAGTCTGAGAATTCAGGACAGGACTTCAGTGCCCAGTGCTGGAAGTGTCCCTACCAGAGCCTCAATGAAAGGCCCTCCTGGGCAGGCCTCGCCAAGAGGAGGCTCTCCAGGGCAGCCCTCAAGCATCTAGCGCTAGGCACACATACCATCAACAAAGATGACTCCCGGCACAAAGCGCAGTCTTTTGGCAGAATCCTGACTCAGGCCCTGCGGGAAGAAGCAGCACCTAGGACTGCCTTCCCAGCAGACGGAAGGCGTGCTGCTCCCAGGAAGCAGAAGCAGCGGCTCAGGCGCAGGTTAGGCGGGCCTGCGGACAGGGCTGAGCTGGCCAACGCGCTGAAAAGCACACTGTGTAGGTCTCAGAAATCTGTAGCTGTTTTGTGTAGGAACAGAGCTGGCCTCAGGCAGAGGGAGCTGGGCCAAGCGATGCCACCCAAGTGCTGGCTGGCCGGCCGGGGGCCGTGCTCCACCTGAGTAGGGACGGGGACCAGGCACAGGAGCACTAGGAGCACACGTGCCCCATCCCTGTTCCAAGACCTCCACCTGGAAAGTCCAGAGCCCTAGGGCCCACCCACGTCCTGGGTTCACAGCTTGAGCCCCCCCACATCTATCTCCTCCCCTTACATGCTGCACTCTTTGCCTAGACCACTTCTGACAAATGTTCTTCATCTCCCCATGAGCCGTACTTGGCCAAGCTGCAGCACCATGATGATGCAGGTTTGGAAAATGAACAGAGCAAAGTGGGGCACAGCTGGGTATCCAGGATGTGGCTTCTGGTCTCTGCCCCTGCTGTCAACCACAACAGTGCCGTGCAGGAGCGTGCTGCTGGCTCCTGCTGGCTCTTGTCTACACAAGGCCTTAGGAGCCAGCTGAGCAGGAAGCTCCCTGACTCAACTTGAACATACCTCAAGGACCTGCCAGACCATGGAGCCAGACGAAGGCCCCCCCGACCATGCCAGGAGCACCTGGGGGAGAGGAAACATCAGCAGTTTTACATAGTGCCTTCTAACACACAGGCGTCTACCCCACACCGAGCCCACCCTCAGAGCCTGGAGGGAAGCCCCTGGCTACCTTCTCTCCAGGAAAGATGAGGCGGTTCTTCCCCAGCATAGCTCTGAACTTATGCACATACAGTGCCTTGAAGCAGTCCCTGTAAAGGAGCCAAACGGGGCTGCTCTGGCCCACCAACGGTGTGCAGCCCAGGGCCCAATGGCAACAGCATCTGTCTCTTGGGAATGCCCGCCTTTAGAAACTGCCACAGCCTGGAGAAGGGCTAGGTGGAATACAGCACTGCAGATGCAGCTGCCAGGTGCACCAGGTTCCCAGGAACACACCTAGTCCCTGAAGGTTGCAAGCTATACCCAACATGGGGGCCGTGGCTAATGCACCCCAGCTGGTGGAAAGGGCAGACTCAGACTGGCAAGTGATGAGCCAGGCCTGATGCCCACCAGGAGACACGCTGATGGATGATTGGCTTCTAGGTATTGCCCCTCTGGAGTGGAAGAGGAAATGCTAAGCAGGCTGTAGAGAGGCACAACAGCCCAGGCCTCCAGGCTTGCCAACCGAGGCTGCAATGTATCTAGGCCTTGCTAGGCAGAAATGGTTCTGAATCTGCACCAAACACACATGCTCAGGTCCCTCCTTAATCCTAACTACTCAGGAGGCTGAGATCTGAGGATCGTGGTTCAAAGCCAGCCCAGGCAGGAAAGTTCGTGAGACTCTTATCCAATAGCAGCTCCCCCCCCCCTCCCCCCCCCGCAGCCCGGAAGTGATGCTGTGGCTCAAGCGGTAGAGCGCTCGCCTTGAGCTGAAGAGCACAGGGACAGGGCCCAAGCCCAGAGTTCAAGCCCCACGACCAAAACAAAAAACAAAAAAACAAAAAACATAGTCAAAACTTCCCACCAGGTCTGGGAAGCTCTTAACATTTCAGTTGATTCAGGCTACTAAGTCAAGTGTTTTCAACCCTGGCTACACGTTAGACTCACAAAGACCAGTTGTCAGAATTTCCAGGGGTGAGATCTAAAATTATCTGCTTTAAAAATTCTCTCAGAAAGAAGTGGCGCTGTAGCTCAAGTGGTAGAGCGCTTGCTTTGAGCTGAAGAGCTGAGGGACAGCGCCCAGGCCCAGATTCAAGCCCCTCGACCGACAAAAAAAAAAAAAAATTCTCTCAGAAGCTAAGCACCAGTGGGTGAGGCCTGTAAGCCTAGCTACTCAGAAGATTGAGATCTGAGAATCTGAACAGAAACATATCCATGAAACTCATCTCCATTTAACCACCAAAGAGCCAGAAATGGGTGGCTCAAGTGCCAGCCTAGAGCAAAAAAGCACCCAGGTCCTAAGTTCAAGCCCCAGTACTGGCACAAAGGAAGAAGAAAAAGGAGGAGGAGGAGGAAGAAGAGATTACTTACTCAACAAACAAACCCTATTCTAAACAGCATCCAACAACAGAAGAAATTAAAAGGCTAAAATGCAGAGACCTAGTGCTGCCCTCCTGCCCCGGACCCTCTGGAAATAACCCCTTGCTCCTGGCCCAAGGACTTGGGGGACAATGAGCTTTCCTTCCCAGCCTCTGCTCCCACAGATAAAGCGATGTCCTACAAGGTAAACAACTTCTACCCAGAGCACTTGGCAAGCTCCCGGGATGCTCTGAATGGCGTCAGATGTATCCTAGCTAACCCTAAATGTCAGTTGTGGGGCTTGAACTCTGGGCCTGGTGCTGTCCCGGCGCTCTTCAGCTCAAGGCTAGTGCTCTACCGCTTGAGCCATAGCACCACTTCCGGTTTTCTAGTGGTTTATTGGAGATAAGAGTCTCACGGACTTTCCTGCCCAACCTGGCTTTGAACCGCGATCCTCAGATCTCAGCCTCCTCCGCAGCTAGGATGACAGGCGTGAGCCACCGGCGCCGAGAGTAACAATGCTTTTAAACAGAAGAAAAAAGCTTGAGAAGCAGGGCTCTCACCTGCAGAAGGCATCTCCGGCGCGGATGACCACCACTGGCAGGCCTTCTTTGCACTTCACACACTTCTGCTCACCTCTTGAAGGGTCAGGGAGGAGAGAACAAGCACGTGGATGCAAGGCCCCCGTGCCCTAGCAGACCTGAGGCCCACCAGAGGACCCTCCCTGGTACCCCGGGACTTGTCTGTGTCTTAACCAACAGCTCAAAGGCCCTGGGCTGGGAGAATGTGTGGCCTGGAAAAGCAGGCCTAGGGGACATGTGAGGGTCTCAGTGACAGGACAGCAACGGGGGGCGGGGGGGGGGGGGGGTGATGACAGGCAGAAGGTATCAGTCAGGGGAGACAGGGAGTAGACAGCAGTCAGAGCCAGATTGCCAGATTGGGGGGAGAGGACTAACAAGAAGAGCGCATCAGGCTGGGGTGACAAGGAGAGGGCATCAGGCGAAGGGTTTAGGGTGCGGGGCGTCAGACATAGGGTGCAACGGGCGGAGGGGACGACAGGCGGGGGGGGAACAGGTGGGGGGAACAGCTGGAGGGTGGGACAGAAAGGGGCAACAGGCGGAGAGGGGACAGGTGAGGGGGGCAGGGGGGACAGGTGAGGGGGACGGGGGGACAGGCGGAGGGGGGACAGGCGGAGGGGGGACAGGCGGAGGGGGGACAGGTGAGGGGGGCAGGGGGGACAGGTGAGGGGGACGGGGGGACAGGCGGAGGAGGGACAGGCGGAGGGGGGACAGGCGGAGGGGGGACAGGTGGAGGGAGATGGGGGGGAACAGGCGGAGGGGGGACAGGCGGAGGGGGGACAGGTGAGGGGGGCAGGGGGGACAGGTGAGGGGGACGGGGGGACAGGCGGAGGAGGGACAGGCGGAGGGGGGACAGGCGGAGGGGGGACAGGTGGAGGGGGATGGGGGGAACAGGCGGAGGGGGGACAGGCAGAGGGGGGACAGGTGAGGGGGACGGGGGGACAGGCGGAGGGGGGACAGGTGAGGGGGATGGGGGGACAGGCGGAGGGGGGACAGGTGAGGGGGACGGGGGGACAGGCGGAGGGGGGGGACAGGCGGAGGGGGGGACAGGCGGAGGGCAGGACAGGCGGAAGGGGGACAGGCGGAGGGGGACAGGTGAGGGGGATGGGGGGACAGGCAGAGGGGGGGACAGGCGAGGGGGGGACAGGCGGAGGGGGGACAGGCGGAGGGGGGACAGGCGAGGGGGGGACAGGCGGAGGGGGGACAGGCGGAGGGGGGACAGGCGGAGGGGGGACAGGCGGAGGGGGGACAGGCGAGGGGGGACAGGCGGAGGGGGGACAGGCGGAGGGGGGACAGGCGGAGGGGGGACAGGCGAGGGGGGACAGGCGGAGGCGGGACAGGCGGAGGGGGGACAGGCGGAGGGGGGACAGGCGGAGGGGGGACAGGCGGAGGGGGGACAGGCGGGGGGGGGACAGGCGAGGGGGGGACAGGCGGAGGGGGGACAGGCGGAGGGGGGACAGGCGGAGGGGGGACAGGCGAGGGGGGACAGGCGAGGGGGGACAGGCGGAGGGGGGGACAGGCGGAGGGGGGGACAGGCGGAGGGGGGACAGGCGAGGGGGGGACAGGCGGAGGGGGGACAGGCGGAGGGGGGACAGGCGGAGGGGGGACAGGCGAGGGGGGCACAGGCGGAGGGGGGACAGGCGGAGGGGGGGACAGGCGGAGGGGGGACAGGTGAGGGGGACGGGGGACAGGCGGAGGGGGGGACAGGCGGAGGGGGGACAGGTGAGGGGGACGGGGGGGACAGGCGGAGGGGGAACAGGTGAGGGGGACGGGGGGAACAGGCGGAGGGGGGACAGGTGAGGGGGACGGGGGACAGGCGGAGGGGGGACAGGCGGAGGGGGGACAGGCGAGGAGGGGACAGGCGGAGGGGGGACAGGCGGAGGGGGGGACAGGCGAGGGGGGGACAGGCGGGGGGGGGACAGGCGAGGGGGGGACAGGCGGAGGGGGGACAGGCGGAGGGGGGACAGGCGGAGGGGGGACAGGAGGAGGGGGGACAGGCGAGGGGGGACAGGAGGAGGGGACAGGCGGAGGGGGGGACAGGCGGAGGGGGGGACAGGAGGGGACAGGCGGAGGGGGGGACAGGCGGAGGGGGGACAGGCGGGGGGGGGACAGGCGGGGGGGACAGGCGGAGGGGGGACAGGCGGAGGGGGGGACAGGCGGGGGGGGGACAGGCGGGGGGGGGACAGGCGAGGGGGGGACAGGCGGAGGGGGGACAGGCGGAGGGGGGGACAGGCGAGGGGGGGACAGGCGGGGGGGGGACAGGCGGAGGGGGGGACAGGCGGAGGGGGGACAGGCGGAGGGGGGGACAGGCGGAGGGGGGACAGGCGGGGGGGGGACAGGCGGGGGGGGACAGGCGGAGGGGGGACAGGCGGAGGGGGGGACAGGCGAGGGGGGGACAGGCGGGGGGGGGACAGGCGAGGGGGGGACAGGCGGAGGGGGGACAGGCGGAGGGGGGACAGGCGGAGGGGGGACAGGAGGAGGGGGGACAGGCGAGGGGGGGACAGGAGGAGGGGACAGGCGGAGGGGGGACAGGCGGAGGGGGGGACAGGAGGAGGGAACAGGCGGAGGGGGGGACAGGCGGAGGGGGGACAGGCGGAGGGGGGACAGGCGGAGGGGGGACAGGCGAGGGGGGGACAGGCGGAGGGGGGACAGGAGGAGGGGGGACAGGCGGAGGGGGGACAGGCGGAGGGGGGGACAGGAGGAGGGGACAGGCGGAGGGGGGACAGGCGGAGGGGGGGACAGGCGGAGGGGGGACAGGCGGAGGGGGGGACAGGCGGAGGGGGGACAGGCGGAGGGGGGACAGGAGGAGGGGGGACAGGCGGAGGGGACAGGCGGAGGGGGGACAGGCGGAGGGGACAGGCGGAGGGGACAGGCGGGGGGGGACAGGCGGAGGGGACAGGCGGAGGGGGGACAGGCGGAGGGGGGACAGGCGGAGGGGGGGACAGGAGGAGGGGACAGGCGGAGGGGGGGACAGGCGGGGGGGGACAGGCGGAGGGGGGACAGGCGGAGGGGGGACAGGCGGAGGGGGGGACAGGCGAGGGGGGACAGGCGGAGGGGGGGACAGGAGGAGGGGACAGGCGAGGGGGGACAGGCGGGGGGGGACAGGAGGAGGGGACAGGCGGGGGGGGGGACAGGCGAGGGGGGACAGGCGGAGGGGGGACAGGCGGAGGGGGGGACAGGAGGAGGGGACAGGCGGAGGGGGGACAGGCGAGGGGGGACAGGCGGGGGGGGACAGGAGGAGGGGACAGGCGGAGGGGGGGACAGGCGAGGGGGGACAGGCGGAGGGGGGACAGGCGGAGGGGGGGACAGGAGGAGGGGACAGGCGGAGGGGGGACAGGCGGAGGGGGGACAGGCGGAGGGGGGACAGGCGGAGGGGGGACAGGCGGAGGGGGGGACAGGCGGGGGGGGACAGGCGGAGGGGGGACAGGCGGAGGGGGGACAGGCGGAGGGGGGGGACAGGCGAGGGGGGACAGGCGGAGGGGGGGACAGGAGGAGGGGACAGGCGAGGGGGGACAGGCGGGGGGGGACAGGAGGAGGGGACAGGCGGGGGGGGGACAGGCGAGGGGGGACAGGCGGAGGGGGGACAGGCGGAGGGGGGGACAGGAGGAGGGGACAGGCGGAGGGGGGACAGGCGAGGGGGGGACAGGCGGGGGGGGACAGGAGGAGGGGACAGGCGGAGGGGGGACAGGCGGAGGGGGGACAGGCGAGGGGGGGACAGGCGGAGGAGGGGACAGGCGGAGGGGGGACAGGCGGAGGGGGGACAGGCGGAGGGGGGACAGGAGGAGGAGGGGACAGGCGGACCGGAAGGAGCGGTGCCCAGGGCCTCGCGAGCCGGCAGGCCGCTCGCGCCCGGCCCGGAGAACCGCGAACGCGGCCCGGGGGCTCTCACCTGGGCCGGGGCGGGGGCGCCGGCTCTCGGGGCGCCGGGTCCGCGTAGTCCTCGCCGGCCTGGCACATGTCGGCGCAGGGCGTCGGAGCCGCCAGCCCCGCCGCGCGCCCGCGCCGTCTGATGACGTCGGCGGCGGCGCCGCGCCGCGAGGCGAGGGCGGGGCGAGCGCTGACGTCGGCGCGGTGGCGTCACGGCGGTGACGCGCGGGCCGGGCCGGGCCGGGCCGGCCGGGACGGGGGGCGGGGGGCGGCGGCGGCGGCGGACGCGGCCTGGCCCGGGATGGCGATGTTCCGCAGCCTGGTGGCGTCGGCCCAGCAGCGGCAGGCGCCGGCCGGGCCCGCGGGCGGCGACAGCGGCCTGGAGGCGCAGTACAGCTGCCCCATCTGCCTGGAGGTCTACCACCGGCCGGTGGCCATCGGCAGCTGCGGCCACACGTGAGCGCGCCCGCGGGGCGGGGGTCGGCGGGCGCGGGGCGCGGGGCGCGGGGCCGCCCGGCCCGGACGTGTGCCCCGGGCCTCCCGCCGCCGCGCGGGGCCGGAGCCCGCAGGGCCGGAGCGCCGAGCGGGCGGCGGCCCGGAGGAATGACTTGTGGCTCTGCTGTCAACTTTCTCCGCCCGCGGGCGGCTCCCGGCCCCGGCCCGCTCCCACGGCGGGTCCCCGCCCCGGCCCGCTCCCACGGCGGGTCCCCCACGGCGGGTCCCCCACGGCGGGTCCCCCACGGCCGACCCCGGAGGCGGCGCTCGGCCCGCGGAGCTCCGGCCCGGCCGCGCCGACCGCCCCCGGGCGAGGCGGAGCCTGGTGCGGAGCGTGCGGGGCTGTCCGCGAGGCCGGGATCGGGCAGGGTGCGCCCGGCGGGTGGGAGGCCCGGGAGCCGCGTGCGCACAGAAGCAGCTGCCTTCCCGGGCTGCGGGTGCGGGTGCGGGAGCTGCCAGGCCGGGTAGGCGGGAGGCGGTGGGGGCCTCGTCCGCGTCCAGTGCCGCCCCGCTCGGTCAGGCGGCACCGGCGCCCGTCCGCAGGGAGAGCCCAGCCGGCAGCCCGTCGCCGCTGCCCCCGGCTCTGCAGCGGGGTTGGAAGAACAGCCTCTGGTCGGGACCGTAGTGCCAGTCACGGAGCTGCTTCTGCGCGAGGCTGGCACTCCACCCCTTGAGCTGCAGCTCCACTTCCAGCTTCTTGGGGCTAAGTGGAGATGAGAGTCTCACAGACTTTTCCTGCTCAGACTGGCTTCCAGCCTTGAACATCAGATCTCAGCCTCCTGAGTAGCAGGGTGACAGGCGTGAGCCAGTGGCACCGCCCAGGACTTACTGCTTGTTAGCACACACTCGCAAGTGTCTTAAGGTGTCTTCTGCACCTCCTAGTCTATTCGTGAGGTTTTGCTGGGGTCTTTGAAAAACCTTTCCAGGCCTGGAGCATCACACTGGTTCTGACTTCTTCACCCTGATTAGAGCCATCGTACTTTGCGCTTCATTGTCTGCAAAAATCAGTATCTGCCCTCCCACCTCCCCCCAAAAGAAGTCTTTTCTTAAAATGTGATGTGCATGGAAAAAGGCAGGAGTTTATGGACTGAAAAGCTTTTCCACCGATGTCTTCTCGTTGTTACTTCTGTCAGATACAGTTATAGAATGTGGGCAAATGAGCACAGTTTAAGGCCTCTCCTGACACCTCTTAAAAGTTTGCTGATTCTTTCCCCTCCAAGAGCCACTGACCACAAGCAGTTTCCTTCCTGTGAGCTGGTGTTCTGGTGGTAAGAGGAGGCCTGCATGGGGTGGGTGTTACTGCTCTAGAACCCAGACAGAGGAGAGTCTAGGGAGGGCTTTTGAGTTGCAGGCATGGACAGGAAGCCAACTGGTAGAGCCTTGTGGAGGATTCAAGTAACTCTCTTGGGTCCCCGGAGGTGTGGCCCATTACAATCAAGAAACAGCTGGGGTGAGCCACATCTAGGTCCAAAGGCAGGTGGGCCAGGGTGCACACAATTGTGAGTCAGCCCACAAAGCCTTTGGAGGCAGCCTCTGCTGGTCAGGACAATCTACTGGCCCCACTGACGTCCAAAACATCACCTGTCCAGAAGCCCAGAGCAGGTCCTGTGGCCTGCAGTCCACCGTTGGCAGTCCTCAGGGCCTGGAGAAGAGCTGGGCCTACACCCACTGCCCTTGTCTCTTCGGTTGAGAAGTGGCTCAGCACTGGGCCCTGTGCAGTTTCAGGCAGAAACTCCTGTGGGAGAAGCAGGCCCTAGAGCCCTGTCTCCTGTTCCTTAGGGGCCTTGACTTGGGGACAGTCACCCTGGGCCACATTTCCTCTCCAGCCTTCCCTGCATTCCAAAGGGAAGTACAGCTGCCCTTCTTACCTTCACCACCATTTTCTTCAGAGACCAGCTTTTCCCAGTTCCACATGGACCCTCTTCTCTGCCCAGTGATGTGTCCGTGACTCACCCTGGTCTTGCTCATGTGGCCTTGCCTTGTGCAATTTTAATAACTTCACTGAGAAAAAGTGCAGAGCATCACAATTTATTCACTTTAGGTGTAGAATCCAGTGGCTTCTGGCTTGTTCAGTTACATAGCCATTGGCACAAGAGAGAAGGAAACCCAGTACCCATTCCCCTCCCCCTAGCTGTTGGCAGCCAGTACCCAGGCCCGTGTGTGTATTTCGGTGTGCTGGGCATTTCATATAAATGGTATTACACAAAATGTGGCCCTTTTATTTCTTTATTTTACTTAGCATGTTTATGAGGCTTGTCTATTTGATATCAATGCTTTGCTCTTTTTTATGACCAAATTCATACAGCACATTTGTGCACCTGCCCATCTGCTGATGGACACCCAGGCCATGGCTACCTCTTATCCCAGGATAAGCATCATCTCACCAGCCTCTTCCTCTAGTGAAGAGGTGAAGCAAGAGGCCTCCCGGCTGAACTGGGACCAGGTTGTCCTGGACATACTTGCTGGGGTGCTGAGGGGTGTGTGGGTGCCTGAAGAGACCTCCCCCGTGGGCAAGGTGAAGGGCAGGGAGCCACTTCATGGTCAGGCAAAGCCTGTTAGGGTCCTTTCACGCCAGGTGGGTCTCGGGGTAACTGCTCCCTTCTTGGCGCAGTGTAACAGGACTATCCAGAAACCAGAGGGTAGAAAGAGAAGGGAGCTGGCGCTCTGGGGCTCTGCCGGAAGCTGGGGCCCTGCTTCCTCTTTGTACAAAGGATCTTTTCTTGGGGAGGGCGGGAGAGCGTGTGGTGGCCCTTGTCTTTAGCTGAGTCATCTGTAAACTCTTAACTCTGTCCAGTGTGGCTCTTCATCCCCACCCCATGCCAGCCTGCCGGGCACATCAGGGAGAGGCCCAGCAATGCACTGTGCTCCCCGGAGCCTTCTCGCAGTTGGCGAGGTCGCCATCCTGCTGGGCTGGGTCGCCCCACCTGCTGAGCATCGCCTCGGGGACCGAGGCTTCATCTCTATCCTAGTGCTCCGGGCATCCATTCGGGACTAGCCCCCGACACTTCCTGTGAGGTTGCATGGAGGGGCCTGTGGGCATGCTCCTGTCCTTCTCTTCACCCCCCTCTTGTGGGGGCTGCCGGGAGGCAGGGGACAGGGTACAAACACCAGCTGGAGTCTGGGGCCTGCTCAGAGCACATGGGTGCTTAACTTCGTCTTTCTGGGTGTCAGTGCTTGTGGGAGTTTCAGAGTCCCAAGTGAGTGCTTAGTACCTGAACCTGCCCCAGGGCAGCCCTTCCACCAAAGCATGGCTCAAGGTGCAAGAGTCCCTCTAGCCTAGGGAGCCGGCCAGCTAGGGCCAGGCCTTGCCCCTTCCCATGGTTACTAGTGGCCTTCCTCCTCAGCCCTGTGGCTGCCCGGTGCCTCCCGAGTTAGCATCATCAACATGTGACCAGAGCCTGCAGAGCACAGTCTGACCTCACAGGATGTGGGATGCAGGGATGAAGCTAGACAGAGCAGCACCCTGCAGCCCGGAGGGGCCCAGCCAGCTGGTGTTTCCCAGCTCCACAAATCCCAGCAGCAGCTGGGCCGTCCCTGCCCATGCTGGTTGATTCTGGCTCGTTCCGGAGGCCCTGGCAGGCCCCTGCTAGCAGCGCCTCAGGCCCGTGTCCCCGCAGGTTCTGCGGGGAGTGCCTCCAGCCGTGCCTGCAGGTGCCCTCCCCACTCTGCCCGCTCTGCCGGCTGCCCTTCGACCCCAAGAAAGTGGACAAGGCCGCCCACGTGGAAAAGCAGCTCTCATCCTACAAGGCGCCCTGTCGGGGATGCAGCAAAAAGGTACGGCCTGGTGTGGGCCTGGGCTGGGCTGCCACGGGGGGCGGCGCCCCGTGGGCCCCGCTCTTCTGCAGAGGCTGCTGCTCCTCTTGTGGTGAAACTGGCTCTCGGTCCGCACTCGGATGCCTGTGTTCCTTCCTCTGCCCTCCCTCTTCCCATGGAGCCAGAGCTGGGCTTGAGGTACACAGCGCCGAGCTGCACTGAACCAGCCTGCCTCCCCTGGGTGCTGCTGGGCACACGGGCTGGTCAGGGAGTGCAGATGGCTCCGTGGCTCCAAGGCGGGAGGCATGCTGTCTAAACAGGGAGGTGGGTTGAGCAGGGCAGAGCAGGGCAGAGCACCTCGGAGTTGAGGGGTGGGGCCTGCTGCCCACTGCAGAGTGGTCAGGCCAGAAACTTCTCCACCTCCCTTCCCCGCAGTGCCCTCCACCGTGACCCCCCTCCCCCTCCCTCCCCACCTGCGCAGCCCAGGGCCCAAGGCCCCAAGCACACCCTAGTCCTGAGCAGGGTGTGGAAGGAATAGCTAGGGGCTGTGTGGAGTGCGCATTTCAGACATCGCTGTGTCTTGGTCAGTGATTCTCACCTGCCATGGTACACATCAGCTCTGTGGTTGTTCCCGGGGTCCCCGCAGGCGCTCCCGTCCTGGGGTCCCCGCAGATGCTCAGGCCCTGTGGTCCATTCTGGGGTCCCCGCAGACATTCTGGCCCCCCTGATCCCGGTCCGTCCTGGGGTCCCCACAGATGCTCTGGCCCCCCTGGTCCCGGTCCGTCCTAGGGTCCCCGCTGACGCTCTGGCCCCCCTGGTCCCGATCCGTCCTGGGGTCCCCACAGACGCTCCGGTCCCCGCAGTCCATCCTGGGGTCCCCGCAGACACTCCAGCCCCCGCGGTCCGCCCTGGGGGTACCTTGTGCTTGGTGGCGGTGAGCTGAGCTGCTGCTGTATGCTATGGTGGCGCTCAGATGTTACCTGCTATGCCCCAGTCAGACTGTCCTGGGCAGGGTGGTCATCTCCCTGCTAGCACCCTAGGGACAGGGGCCTGCCCCTCCCCCAGTGCCGCAGGTCTCTGCCCTAGGTCTTTGGGGCACGCATCTCCCTGCACAGCTTCCTGCCAGCTTGGGTGTCTGTCCAGCAGCCCAATATCAAAGAGAACCCTGGCCCCGGAGTACGTGTTGGTTACCTGCTGGTCCTGGGTTCGTGACCGCGGCTTCAGGGACAGGTTCTCCCCCTCGGGGAAGGTGCCACCCTCCCAGCCCCGCCCACGTGCCAGTGGCAGCCGTTCGTGGCCCACCTTGAAGGGAGCGTTGGCCCTCACTCTTCCTCTTCCTGCTCAGATCCCCCTCTGCTGCCCCTCCTCAGCCCTGGCCTCCAGGTCTGCCTCTGCCCGCAGCCAGGCCTCGCCTGGCGACTTGGGTTGGCAAGCACGCAGTGCTGCTGCGTTGTTTGCCTTTTGCCCAGAGTTTCCCAGGTTCTCATCAGGAGGTGTGTTTCCCTGCTAATGCATGCCGGACCGCAGCTCCTTTCTGCTGCCTGAGCCTGTGGCCCCAGCCGTGTGTGGAGCGTGGTGGCGGGGCTGCGGCCGCTCCGCGTGCCGTCTCCCCACCTGGCTCCCGGAGCCCTGGCTGCTGGAGGGGCAGCGGGCCAGTGTACTGCTGCTGCTGCTGCTGCAGGGGACTTTGCTGGCTGTTGCCTGTCCTGGGGGCCAAGGCCTCCGCCTTCCCAACACCTCTTGCCCTCTCTCCGTCCCCTAGGTGACCCTGGCCAAGATGAGGGTCCATGTGTCCTCCTGCCTGAAGGTCCAGGAGCAGATGGCCAACTGCCCCAAGTTTGTTCCTGTGGTGCCCACATCCCAGCCTATTCCCAGGTAGGCAGCCCTCGGGGCGGGGTGGGGCGGGTGTGGGCGGGCTGGGCCGGGCTCGGGTAGCTGTGGCCTGAGTGCCTGTCGCTTGGGCTGCACAGTCCCCTCTCTGGTAGGCCGCAGCCTGCAGCCCCTTGTGGAGACCGACCGGACTGGTAGGCGAGGCGAGAGCCAGCCGGCTCCCGCTGCCTCCTTCCCGCCTGCTAACGGTGTGGCTCCTGTAGGCTGGGCCTCGCGGTGTTGGAGAGAGATGGGCGGCACCCAGCCTTATGCCCTCTCTTCCCACCCCGCCAGCAACATCCCCAATAGGTCCACATTCACCTGCCCCTACTGTGGCGCCCGAAACCTGGACCAGCAGGAGCTGGTGAAGCACTGCGTGGAGAGCCACCGCAGCGACCCCAACCGCGTGGTGAGCACCAGAGTCCACACCCCTCCCCACCCCGCCCCATGCGTGGTGAGCACAGAGCTCATGCTGCTATGTGAGTCTGGGGCACCACCCCGTCCCACCGCCGGGGGCCTCCTCCAAGGCCCAGGCTGCCTGGAAACCTGTCGCATGCTGGCCTTGTGTTGCAGGTGTGTCCTATCTGCTCCGCCATGCCCTGGGGCGACCCCAGCTACAAGAGCGCCAACTTCCTGCAGCACCTGCTGCATCGGCACAAGTTCTCCTACGACACCTTTGTGGTAGGTCACCTTCCTGCCTTCCTCCTCCTCGCCCCCACTCTCTGTCTCTCTTCCATCCTCCTCCTACCCTGGGACTCACCCACAGCTCCTGTACGCCCCTCCTAACCAGCGTTAAAGGCCCCGATTCTGAGCAGGCTGGTGTACCAAGCTCCCTTTGAGCTGTGACATGCCAAGATTAAGTGGACACTGGAGGGCACCACACACCCACACTGCCCGGGACTTGGGCCCCTGTTCAGTGGGCCTTGGCCTCCAGGACAGCCTCCTGGGGTTGGCCATGTGTTTTCTAACATGCTTGTGGAGAAAAGCTGGAGAAACTTGGCCCAAAGCACACTCTAGGTCCTTACCTCCGTCCCCTCCCTGACCTGCAGGGGTCAGGCAGCCTGCAGACCCCTCACCAAGTCTCTGGTGCAGCTCCTTCCCATGGCCTGGCTTGCTCCATCAGCTCCTCACAGCCTCTGGCTGCCTGGCCCTCCACTCGGTCCACCCTTAGACAGCCCCATCCTCACGGCCCAGGCTCTCCATCCCATGCCTGCCCTGTCAGCCCTGCCACGTGGCTGCAGACTGCCCTTGGGGAGCCTGTTGAGGCAGACTGGGAAGGCAAGCAGGCCTGATGTGGACAGGTGCCAGTATCCCCACAAGGGTAAACCTGGCAGGGAGATGGCGGGGGCTTGCACGCCCAGCCAGGGGGATGGCGGGGGCTTGCACGCCCAGGCAGGGAGATGGCGGGGGGCTTGCACGCCCAGGCAGGGAGATGGCGGGGGGCTTGCACGCCCATTTCCGCTTCCTGCTTCCAGGACTATAGCATTGACGAAGAAGCCGCCCTCCAGGCTGCCCTGGCCCTGTCTCTCGCTGAGAACTGAAGGCACGCCCCGAGGACAGGGCTGGAGCCCCCACCCCGGCACCCTTCCAGGCTGCCCTGGCCCTGTCTCTCGCTGAGAACTGAAGGCACGCCCCGCAGCTGCCCGAGCCTGGGCCGAGGCGCCCCTCCCCAGGACAGGGCTGGAGCCCCCACCCCGGCACTCGCACAGGAGACACCTTGCAGGCCAGGTGGAGTCATCCTGCACGAGGAGAGCCGTCCAAGGGCCACCGGAGCCTGGACGCTGGCCGGCCAGTGTTTGCTGACCAGCAGAGAAGCAGGGTTATCGGTGCTTTGAGGGGCAGTGCTGGCCCGTTGGGTTAATGCAGTCGGCCATCTCCTCCGAGCCTCGAGGTGGAGAGTATGTGGTGTGCAAGATGTGCGCCCCACTGCCGGACAGCAGGAGACCTGAGGCTGAGCCAGCCAGCATCTGGCCACGCCCCCCTGCGCCTTTGGTACTGGCTTTGTGATACTTAGAATCCTGGCGTTTTTTCTATCTTACCCCGCGTGATAATCTTTTCACATTTTATAGAGCAAAGACAAAGCAGTTACTCTTCATATTGCAATATCTGTGTTTGACTAGGATGAATAGTATTTTTATGGAACATTAACAAAGTTATATTTTTTAAAAAAAAAAACATTAAAAATAGCCGTTGTTTGGGATCAGCGCCAAGAGGGTCGGGATGGCGGGCACGCTCACCCCAGCCGGGCCTGGGCCTGTGTGCGGGGCAGGTGTCGCAGCCCCGGCCACCCGTCGGGGTGTGGGGGGGTTGTTTTTTGTGGGTCTTGTCATCTGCTGGCTTAACTTTTATGACAACCAGGAAGAAGCCCGGCGCCCCTGGAGGTGTGCTCTGGCGGGCCCAGCGTGCAGGGGCCCCCGCCCGGCACTTACTGGGGCAGGGCGCTCCCCAGCAGCGGCCAGAGAACCCTCGTCAGCACTCCTTTTCTGTTCATGGCATAAATTATTGCTGTCTTTTCGAAAATGTTTAAATAAAACATTTCCAAGCACCCGTGTGAGTCTGGAAGTGGAGTTCCTCAGTCTTCAGCACGGCTCTGCCAGGGGCCGCCCCAGGCCCAGCCTTCCCTGCAGAGCCGTGAGGTGTGGACACCGCTCTGAAGCACCCGTTTCTCCTTCCCGGGCCGGGGTCTTGGTGCGGTGCATTGGGCCGACTGCTTCCAGCTTCCTGAGGACCACCAGGTGCCCTGTTGACTTGAAGGTCACTGGAAGGCTAAACAGTCACCTGGTGGCCAGTCCTTGTAGGTGGTTGCTGTGGTCTCTTACCGTCCTTCCCAGATGGGGCAGAGACAGATCTGTTCTGGATGGTTTGTTCTAAGAAGTGTGTTCTCCAGCAAAATCTATGGCCTGGGCCAGGCAAACCCAGGTCACCCATAACTATAACTCAGCAGGGCCAGCACCGGGCAAAGCTGCCTGCAATGCCCCGTGAGGGCTGCTGGGCCCCCTACTTGCATGTTTTCTGTGGCTGGGGGCCCTCAGCAGTGCTGGGCCTCAGTCAGACAGCCTGACTTCCCACTGCCTTCTGGGAGGCGAGCAGAGATGGCCCAGGCCGGTTGTCTGGGTCTCAGGCCCCGCAGGCTTTGTGCCCGCCCCCTGGCGCCTGGCCAAACCTGTCGCCCTTGGGCAGGAGCTCACTGCCAGTGGAGCCGGGGGAGCTGCCCCTGCAGGCCTGGGCCTGCCCACTGGTGAGTGGCCCAGGTGGGACCCTTGGTATCCAGGGCCTGAGGCCGCGTGGGATCTGCCTCAGCCGGCTCTGACCTCAGCAACCTCACCTTTCCATCCACCCTCGGATGGACGTTGCCCAAGCTCTGGGCCCCTGTGGAAACCGCAGTAGCTGAGGCTCTGCGGCTACTTTACCTGGAGCTGTGGACCCTGAGTGCTGTGACCACAGAGGAGGGAGGAGCAGCCAAGGTCACGGTGGCCCCTGGCAGTGCACTGCCTGCGAGGTCAGGGTGTGTACTGAGCAGAGTAAGTGTGGGCTCCAGTTGGGCCGACCCCTGAATGCCCTGGTATCTAGTTCCATCTCTCAGGGAAGCCACGGAGGAGTGGGAAGGAACCTGTCCCCAGGTACAGCCTGTGACACTCCTGCCGCTGCCGCTGCCAGACCCAGAAAGCAGGGGCGGGCGGGAGCCTCCCTGTGACTGCATCTGGCTGGCGGTGGCCAGTCAGTCCTGTGCCCCGGGGTGAGCCGCCACCACACGCGCTGTGCTCAGCAGGCCCCACTGGGGAGGCGGCTGGGAACATCCCCAAACCTGTCTGTCCTTTTCCTATCGGCTGACCCACGCTGCCATTGGGAGCCCCTTTCCTGGGCCTCCCACGACCCGCCTCCTTAGGGCTGTCTGGAGCCCAGAGACCACCCTTCAGGGGCCTGGGGTGGGTGGCGGGTGGGACAGCCATCTTCCCTGCTCATGAGGTCTGCGCTTCCCAAGCACCGCCACAGGCCTGCACCCCCCTGAGGGGCCTGCACCCCACTGAGGGGCCTCCCCCGGCCGCGGCCCCTCCCCCTCTCGGTGACCGCATGTCCACAGCTCCTCCAGGCCCAAGGGGGCGCCCCGGGCTCTGGAAAGCAGCCAGCACCCCGTTTCCTCCCACCACCGCAGGAGCCCTGGGGCCTCCACGCTGAGGTCCCCCACAGGGGACAAGGCTGCCCCTCCTGAGGGTCAGCCCGCCTGCAGCTGCTACCAGGCAGCTCCTGCCGCACCTGTCGGTGCGTGCAGGCGTGGAGATCCTGAGACCAGAGCTCTGCACCCCAGTCTCCATCTTCCCCCAGCTATGGCCACAGGAAGCCAGCCAGGCCTCACTCTCCACCCCTGCCCCCAAGCCGGGGCGGCGTGCCCCACAGAGTCCAGGGACTCAGAGGCTCAGCTCGGTGGCCACGTACCTTAGGTTTCAGGTTGTGCAATGTGTGAGCTCACACCCTCCTTCTTAGAGAGCACTCCAAGGTGCCAGGGACTCGGGACCTTCTCCATTAGGCAGGAGTCAGGCAGCCAGCCTGAGGCAGACGCTAGATTCACCAGTCCCTGGCTCCCAAGACACTTCCCTGTTCCTACTGCAGGGGCTCCTCCTCTCCCCATCCTCCCCCTCTCTCCTTGTCTTCCTCCCCCTTCCCCCCCCCCCCGCTCCCCCTCCTCGCCTCTCCACCCCCCCTCCATGGGATGGGTATAGTAGAACGTGAATTCCAAGACTGCAGCCCTGGTGGTCCAGAATGTCAAGTGTGGTGTCCTCCACCTGCGCCTCATCTATGGGGTACATGTGGCCCAGTTGCCTTGCCTCCCTGTGGGCACTCAGGCACACCTGGGGTGCCCGCTAGTCACTAGACACTGGCACCTCATGGAGGTGGCAGGCCTGAGGTAGGCGGAGGCCTCTGCCCCCACACTGCAGCCGGTGCCCAGCCCACTGAGGTGAAAGGGCGCCCGAGGGCAGCTCTCTGCTCTTAGCAGCACCTTTCAGCACAGGAGGGAGAGGTCACCCGGGAGGCACGGCCCAGACACCCTCCCTGGGATGGAGGGCCGTGGGGGCAGGCGGCTACGCGCCCCCAGCGGCTGGAGGCCTGGCTACCCCATCTTTCACATCCTCCTCTCTCCAGATGTCCATGTCCAAGTCTTAGGAGGTCATCTGTTCTTGGCTCTCGTCTTCCTGACTCTACGAAGGCCTGTCTTCAAACTGGCTCCACACATGGGGGAGGACTGTACAGCTTTCAAGAGGAAGAAATCCACCCCAGAAGCCATCTGCCAGCTCCCAGGCCACGACGTGGACAAGCTGGGATGGTGCCTCTAGGGCATGGAGCGTGGAGGCTCCCTGACAGGGAGAGGTGAACAGTGTCCCTCGCCATGGCCAGGCAGCTCAGCCTGCCCTGAGTGCTGCTGGGCCTGCCGACAGCGCACTGCAGAGGTCCAAGGGCTGGGGGTCGCTGCCCAGTGAGGCAGATGGTCAGCACTGCAAGCTGGCAGGGAAGCCCTGGCATATTCCGGCCACAGATCTCCTGGAAGAGCGTGTTGGGGTGTGTCTGTGTGTGCGTGTGCACATGTGCACGTATGTAACTAGTGGTGCTGGGGATTGAATTTCGGGCCTTGTGTGTGCTAGGTGAGCATCTACCACCAGCCAGTTAAGCCGGGGGGGTCTAAACTGCCACAAATCTCCCTTCTGTCACCATGGGGGATGAATGGGTGGAGATGGGCAGGCTTTTGTCCCCTTGTGGCTGAACTAGAGAGCATAGAACATTAACTGAACCAAAGTGGGGTCCTCCGGTGACATACAGGAGAGCATCGCAGGCTCTCCTTCCCCTGTGTGGGGCTAGGCTGCTATGCGTTGGACCCGAGCCCCGGAGGATGCCTAGAACCATCCACAGACTCTCCCTCCTAGGCTTTCTGTCTGTGTGTTGCACCGATCACTCCTGCACTATCACACAGCATACGTGGACACAAGTGCACAGATGTGTGTGCAGACACACGTTGCCTCCTGGACCAGCCCCCAGCTCCGTTCTGAAGCTGCCCACCCCAATCCCGCCCTCCCCCACCCCCAGCCTCCAGCCCAGGCATCCAGTCTGCTTCCTGTGAACTCCCAGCTTTGTGAAAGGCTCACTTCACCAGGAGACACCGTGACGGCTAGCAGGACCCACGAACCCTGGCCTGCCCTGGGGCAGCCAGGCCCACACTGATGGCAGGGCCGGTGGATGGTCACGGGCTGCAGTGTCTACTGACACCGGCTGCCCAGGTCCAGGTGCGTCTCATTACACCATCTGTCTGCACGCAGACCTGGGCTGCACTGACTACTGTGCCAGCCTCTGCTCCGAGTCCCAAGGTGACTGAGCGCAGCTGGCAGGCGCGCGTGCCCTGCGCCTGTCCGGCACCCGCATGCTTCTACAGAAAAGCTCAGAGAGGAGCCGGCCCCGCTGCCCTGGGGACAGGTGAGTGTCCCAGGGTGTTCGGGGGCAGAAGATCAATTCTCCTTCATCCAGTTCAACAAGCCTTGATGAGCCCACTGTGGACCTGGCCACGGAATGCGGACCGGTCCATCTCTCAGGCAGAGGACTCCAGGCATCTGAGGCCTTATCCGTGTGGGGCCGGGGAGGGAGGGCTGCAAAGCCACAAATAGAAACCTTCCGTGGCCAAGGAGCAGGTGACTAAGCAGCAAGCAGGCCGGGGCCCCCGGTCGCGGGAGGCCAGGTCGGGATGCAGGAGGCCTCGCCGCTCCCCATGCCACCTGCGTGCTGGGCTCCCACCCTATGCCTGGCCTCAGGCTGGAAGCGCGCCGGACTCTCCGGCTGCTGACCTCGCAGAGGCTTGGCCGGGCAGGGGCGCACGGTCCGGGCCGCTTGGTGCTGTGCCGCTAGGCGCCGGGTGTTGGAGTGACCCGGCGGCGCCTGCTCCTGTCTTCCCATCCTTTCACCTTCCGGGTCCCAGCTCAGACAGCCAAAGCTGCCAGGCTCGGCCATGGGCCACGCGCCCAAACGCCCAACGCCTCACCAGACCCCGGAGCCGCCGCGCGCGCGGACAGGCGCCCTGGCGTGGGCGGGAGCCCCGCTCTCCGTGGAGGGCGGGTCGCGGGCAGGTGCTGCGGCGCACGGGAGCGCGCTGCACGCGTTCGCCGGCTTCCCATCAATCGAAGGGGTCGCGCAGGGATTCCGGGGGCGCCTTGCTTTCCGGGGGCGGGGCGGGGCGGGGCGGGGGGGGGCTCCACAGCCCCGGGCGCGCCGGCCGCCCCGACCCCGACCCCCGACCCCGGCCCCGGCCCCAGCCCGCCCGGGAGCTCAGCGCTATGGCTGCGCGGGAGACCCGTGCGCATCCCGGGGCCGGGCCGGCGGGACCCCAGCGGCAGCCCCGGCGCCCTCCTCTGCGGCGCGCGCCGGGCCGAGGGGCGGGGTGCGCGGCCGAGGGGCGCTGGGCGCGTTTCCCACCCCCGCCCGCCCCGCCCGCCCCGCCCGCGCACCTGTCCCGGGCGTGGCGCCGCGTCCCGCCCCGCCGAGCCGGGCGCCGGTTGGCCGAGGCGGAGCGCTATGCTAATGACCCTGACCCTTTCCCGCACCTGCTGGCCGCGCCGCCGGGCGCTGCAAGGCCGCCGCCGCCCGGCCCCCCGCGCGCCCCGTGCCCTGCGCGCCCCCCGCGCGCCCCGTGCCCTGCGCGCCCCGCGCGCCCCGTGTCCTCCGCGCCCCGCGCGCCCCGTGCGCGCTCCGTGTCCTCCGCGCCCTCTGCGCCCCGTGCCCCCCGCGCCCCCCGCGCCCCGTGCCTCCCGCGCGCCCCGCGCCCCGTGCGCCCCGTGCCCTCCGCCCCCCCCCCCCCGCGCGCCCCCGGCCTCGCCCCGCCGGGAGGGGACCATGCCGCGCTCCTTCCTGGTGAAGACGCACCTCGGACACCGAGCCCCCAACTACGGGCGGCTGGAGACGCGGAGAGGTAGGGCTGCGGCTCCCGGCCTGCGGGGCGGAGAAGTTTCCGGGCGCCCCCCGACCCCCATCCCCAGCGCCCCAGCCTCAGCCGCCGCCGTCCTGGGCGTCCGAGAAGGCCGAGGACAGCCCGGCCCCGGACTCCCCCGGGCCCAGGGCAGCAGAGGCCCCGGGTCCGCCTGGCCCTCCGTCGCGGCTGGTGCCGGCAAGGCTTCGGGGTTCGCTCCACGCGACACCGGCCTGGCACCCCCGCGTCCCTGCCCCGCGTCCCTGCCCCGCGGAGCTGGGGACGAGAAGGGCCCCTCCCCGCGTGGCACCGCGCTGCACCGGGGTCAGGGCCGGCCCCAGCCCTTCGGATGGGAGACTCGGCCTTGGGGATGGGAGACTTGGCCTTGGGGACGGGGTTTCTTGGTCCCAGGGAGCGGGTGCCGTGGGCGCGACAGAGTTCTCGGGTGAGCCCCAGTACCCCAGTACCGGCGGACACCGGGGTTCCGTCTGAGAACGGTTGAAAGCAATGCGGTGAGTCGCCACAAGCAAACTTGTAAACTAGAACAGCACCTACTGAAATGCAGTCCCAGCCTAAGGGAGCTTCTGTAAAATCACATGTCAATACCAGCATAGATAATAGGCCAAAACTGAATATAATGGGTTGCGAGGGGTCTTATCTTTTGGGGAGGGGTCTGGCACTGGAGTTTGAGCTGGGGGCCTTGTGCTTGCTAGGCAGGTACTCCGCGTCACTAGACCTTGTTATGTTTGAGACAAAGCCTTGCTGTGTAGCCCAGTCTGGCTTCGAACTCATCCTCCTCCTGCTTTTGCTTGCCTGGTGCTAATTACGGACATAGGCCACCCGGCCTGGCTGGTTTTGTTTACTTCTTTTACTGTTGTTTTGGTGCTGATAGACAGCAGGGTTCCATTTACAAACATCAGGTGAAAGCGCATTTCCTTTCACACAGCGTCACCTGTTCCTTCATTCTCTCCTATTCCCATTGGCTAGTTTTATTTTTGTAGAGCTGGAGATGGAACTGGGAACAAGGTGCAGAGGACATCCTCAGCTCCGGGCCATCGACTTAAGTTTAAAACTATTGTTTAGGGCCTCCCCATGCTGTATCCCATCTTTTTTTTTTTTTTTTTTGGGTCTGGTCATGGGGCCTGAACTCTGGGCCTGGGCGCTGTCCCTCAGCTCTTCAGCTCAAGGCTAGCGCTCTACCACTTGACCCACAGTGCCACTTCCGGCGTTTTTCTTTTTTCTTATGTGGTGCTGAGGAATCGAACCCAGGGCCTCTGGCATGCAAGGCATGCGCTCTACCACTGAGCCACCTTCCCAGCCCCGCTGTGTCCCATCTTTACACTTGAACGTTCAAATCTAGTACCCCCCTGTACGCAGTAGAAACCCCTGGGAGAACCCGCCTTCCTTTGGCATTCCCCGCCTTCCTTCTGGCTTCCTGAGAGTCCTGCTGGCCTGGCGGCGCTCCTCCCACCACTAGAACTGGCCTCCGATGCTGAGGTTTGGAGCCTCTGTTCCCTCCCTGTAATAATGCCTGTTTAGCAGGCATCAGTGGTTCACACCTGTGCTCTTACCCAGGAAGCTGAGCTCTGAGCATCAAGGTATGCAGGAGACACACGAGACCCCCATCTCCAGTCCACCAAAAAGCCAGAAGTGGAGCTATGGCTCCCATGGTAGAATGCCAACCTTGAGCATAAAAGCAAAGGGATAGCATCCAAGCTCTGCGTTCAGGCCCCCGTACTGGCACACACATACAGATACACACATACACAAATGCCGTAGGGTACAGGAAGTCCTGAGTCAGAGGGTACTTACTTACAAGCCCCTTCTCCCAGAAACCTTGGCTGCAGAACATACAGAAAAGCCAGAGACATGTGGGCAGACATTGAAAGGGTCTCTGGTTCCCGGCACACAGTCCCGTTCTACTCCTGTGGTGACCACAGGCCTCAGACCGAACTCAGCTCTGGTGCTGCCTGGGGTTAGGAGGCAGCCATCTTGGAGTGGAGACGTAGGGGAAGTGGCTCCCTACTTAAGAGAATCTTCCAGTCTGCAGAGCCCGGTCATGGCCATCATTTACCTGTAAACCACCCCCCATACCCGCACAGCTTTTCTGGAGGACAGAAACCTGACTTCGTGGGTTTATTCTCAGTCCTGGGCTGTGAACGTGGGGCCTGGGACTTGCGGCTGGCTGGCTTGTTCAGTTGTCACTCTGTCACCTAACAAACCTGATTTTATAGTTCAGGACACTAGGGGGGTGAGGGCAGGGGACGTCAGGAAGCCGTTCCTGGTTCCTTTTCCACATCCCCAGCACTGGCTTCTGTCCTTTTCTTCTTGAATTCCAGCCATCCAGGTGGCTGTGAAGAATCCCCTTACCATGGGTTTGGTTGGCATTGTCCCACTGGTTAATGATATTAGGTAGCTTTTTATATACTTGCTGACAGTTTTTGTGTCTTCCTTCTTAGGAGAAATAGCTATTTCTATTTCTTCCTAACTTATTTTTTTCTCCCCAATTTTGAAATTGTGTTTGTGTTTTGATTGTTGACTTGCAAACATTCTTTATAGGTTTGGGATACTCTTTCCTGATCAAATATGGGGTAATTCCTCAATTCTGTGCTGTCTTTCTCTACCCAAAGTCTCACCACAGCAGCAGAAGCAGGGCCAGAGGTTTAATTCAACACATCGGGAGGAGGATGCTTAGTGATTGGGGCCTTAGGGAATCCAAAATTTGCTTCTTATCTGTAGACTGACCTTTCTTGTGGGGGTAGGGGATTCTGGGCACTAACTGGTTCAAACACATAGTGTGCTGGCCACACATACAGGAGCCACTGCCCAAGAACTAGCCACGCCAGAACCAGGTCTGAGCCTACCAACCCGCCAGCCCCAGCAGTCCACCTGGCTGAGTAGGCTTGTGTGCACTGCGCAGAGGACCAGCACACCGTGACGTGTGTGAGGAGACGCTGGATGACTGGGAGGCTAATTGCTGCGGGGGCGCGAGGGGGCTGGCTTTGCTCCAGGCGCCTTGGGTCCTGACCTCCTGCTGGTGCCCTGTAGGAGCCTCAGGGCTGGCCCCAGCCACTGCCCTCAGCCGGGAGGTGGGGTGCTAGGGACTCTGCAGACAGACCTACCCCCGCCGGGACACCTCTACCAGGTGAAGACTGTTTTCCTTCTGAGTCAAGATGCTGCTGTGCATCCCTGTCTGGCTTTGAACTCGAGCCCCACCTTCCTCAGTATCCAGAATTCTAGGACTGCAGGTGTGCCCCCCGCCCCCCGTGCCTCGCTGTGCGGAGCTGTTTGGGGTCCTGTGGCGGTTGTTGATCAGGAGCTGGGGTCCAGCCTCCTGGCTTGCTGTGCCACTGTGCCGTGCGGTGCTTCGGTCTCTTGTGAGAGGGGCGCGAGTTGGGTCTTTACAGGTCCCCCTCCATGGCGGTGCGGATGGCCACTGTGCCGGGATACGAGCAGAAGCCTGCAAGCAGGGGACGAGGGCTTCCGGCCTCACACGGCTGCCCTCTCTCTCCTCTGCTCTTCTAGAAGCCGATGGTGCCTGCTCTGAGCGCAGAGGGCCGGCGGTGCCCGTCCACTCCCCGGACAGGGAGGCTCCTCCGGTGCCCAGCCAGCCCTGGAACTGCGCCTCCGCCATCACCCGCCTCTCCCTGCCCCTCCTCCCGTGCCACGAGGAGGCTCTGGGGCCCTCTCAACCAGAACCCCTGGACGTCAGCTGGACAGGCCCTCGGGCTGGCAGCACCCCAAGTGTGGCCCTCAGAGCCAGCCTGAACCACCTCAACCTGCCCCTGCTGCCGCCGCCGCCCACGCAGTGGCCCCCAATCCCAGGTCCCGATGGGGACGGGGCCCCAGACAAACCTCTCAAGGACCAGGGGATGTCTCGAGTCCCGGGGGGCTTTGAGTGCACCCACTGCCACAGGCCCTACCACACACCCGCCGGCCTAGCCAGGCACCAGCAACTGCACTGCCACCTGCCGGCCGGGCACCCCTTCACCTGCAGGTACTGTGACAAGGTGTACGCCAGCCTGGGCGCCCTCAAGATGCACATCCGCACCCACACCCTGCCCTGCATCTGTAAGGTCTGCGGCAAAGCCTTCTCCAGGCCCTGGCTGCTCCAGGGCCACGCGCGCACCCACACAGGTAGGTGCCACCAGCCCCCCGGTGCAGGGGGGGGGGGGTCGGGAAAGGAGGGGCAGCCTCCGCTGTGGCGCGGCCACACAGACGGCCTTGAACAGCTGACCTGTCCTTCCAGGCCCCGAGGCCAGAGCCTGAACTCAGGCTGTGTGGTGTGAGTGCTCCCTGAAGGTTGGGGGGCCCTTCCTGCCCCGTCCATCACTCCTCTCTGCCTGTCTGCAAGGGCCCTGCCCCTGCCCCCCATGCCCGTCTATGTCTGGCCCCTCTGCTATGAGGAGGTGGGCTTAGGGTTCACCTAAAGCCTTCATCTTTGCAAATTATACAGACAGAGACCCCATTTCCAAATGAGGCCACAGAGTAGGACTGGAGTCTGGACAGCTTTCTCTGGGGGTGGGGCAGAACTCCCAAGTCTGGGCCAAGCGTGGGATATACAGGGCCTTCTGTCAGCCCACCTGACCCCATTCCAGGACCAGAACAGAGGGAAGGGGTGAGAGCCCGGCCTCTGTGGGGCACTGGCGGGTACCTGGTCCGGAGGAGGGCAGAGGAGCTCAGCTTGGGGAAATGGAGTCTGTGGGCCCCGGGAGACTGCAAGCTAGAGCCCAGGCTCCACAGGACTGTGGGCCTAGACATGATCCCCCACAATCCTCCCCCAACAGCCTCTGGAGGGGGGGGGAGGAGCTCAGCCTCTGGAGGGGGGGAGGGGCTCAGCCTCTGGAGGGGGGGAGGAGCTCAGCCTCTGGAGGGGGGGGAGGGGCTCAGCCTCTGGAGGGGGGGGGAGGAGCTCAGCCTCTGGAGGGTGGGGGGAGGAGCTCAGCCTCTGGAGGGGGGGGAGGAGCTCAGCCTCTGGAGGGGGGGAGGGGCTCAGCCTCTGGAGGGTGGGGGGAGGAGCTCAGCCTCTGGAGGGTGGGGGGAGGGGCTCAGCCTCTGGAGGGGGGGGAGGGGCTCAGCCTCTGGAGGGGGGGGAGGGGCTCAGCCTCTGGAGGGTGGGGGGAGGAGCTCAGCCTCTGGAGGGGGAGGAGGGGCTCAGCCTCTGGAGGGGGGGAGGAGCTCAGCCTCTGGAGGGGGGGAGGGGCTCAGCCTCTGGAGGGGGGGAGGAGCTCAGCCTCTGGAGGGGGGGAGGAGCTCAGCCTCTGGAGGGTGGGGGGAGGGGCTCAGCCTCTGGAGGGTGGGGGGAGGGGCTCAGCCTCTGGAGGGGGGGGGAGGAGCTCAGCCTCTGGAGGGGGGAGAGGGGCTCAGCCTCTGGAGGGGGGAGGGGCTCAGCCTCTGGAGGGGGGGAGGGGCTCAGCCTCTGGAGGGGGGGAGGGGCTCAGCCTCTGGAGGGGGGAGGGGCTCAGCCTCTGGAGGGTGGGGGGGAGGGGCTCAGCCTCTGGAGGGTGGGGGGGAGGGGCTCAGCCTCTGGAGGGGGGGAGGGGCTCAGCCTCTGGAGGGGGGAGGGGCTCAGCCTCTGGAGGGGGGAGGGGCTCAGCCTCTGGAGGGGGGGAGGGGCTCAGCCTCTGGAGGGGGGGGAGGAGCTCAGCCTCTGGAGGGGGGGAGGGGCTCAGCCTCTGGAGGGGGGGAGCTCAGCCTCTGGAGGGGGGGAGGAGCTCAGCCTCTGGAGGGTGGGGGGGAGGGGCTCAGCCTCTGGAGGGTGGGGGGGAGGGGCTCAGCCTCTGGAGGGGGGGAGGGGCTCAGCCTCTGGAGGGGGGGGAGCTCAGCCTCTGGAGGGGGGGAGGAGCTCAGCCTCTGGAGGGTGGGGGGGAGGGGCTCAGCCTCTGGAGGGTGGGGGGGAGGGGCTCAGCCTCTGGAGGGGGGAGGGGCTCAGCCTCTGGAGGGGGGAGGGGCTCAGCCTCTGGAGGGTGGGGGGAGGGGCTCAGCCTCTGGAGGGGGGGGGGAGGAGCTCAGCCTCTGGAGGGGGGGGAGGGGGTCCTCACCAGCAGGTGCAGACCTTTCACCTCTGGCTGTGGTCTGTGGCACTGTCCTGGTTGTAGTCGCTCACCTGGTCCCCCTCCCACCGCAGGTGAGAAGCCGTACGCCTGCCCGCACTGCAGCAGGGCCTTCGCTGACCGCTCCAACCTGCGAGCTCATCTGCAGACCCACTCGGGCACCAAGAAATACCAGTGCAAGAGTTGCTCCAAGACCTTCTCCCGCATGTCCCTCCTGGCCCGGCATGAAGAGGCCAGCTGTCGCCCCGGCCCCTGAGAGGCATGGGGTGGAGGCCTTCCTCCAGAGGCAGTTCCCTGGGGCATTCAGAGGCTCCTCGCCTGCTACCCTGGGCCCAGCGAAACCAGGAAGCCCCACCGGGAGACTCCTCGCCAGGAGCCTTCACTGAACTGAGAACCACGGCCCCATTTCCCGGTCCCCCGAGGAGATGGGCAAATTCTACGCCATGCTAATGAGCAGGCAGCCAGATCTTTCTACATGCACCTGTAAGCAAGCAAGCCACAGCTGTGTCCGCCTCGAAGGCTCAGCCACCTCTCCGCCAGCCTTTGGCTTGGGGTCTGGATCAAGCTGTCTCCTGCCACGCATGGGCACAGACACACGCGCGTGCACACACACACACACACCTTCTCACTTTCTCAGACTCCCCCTGAGATGGAGCAGAGCCAGGAGAAGAGTAGGTGGTGGTTTGAGACAAAGCCTCCAGAACTGGCCCTACAGAGAACCAGGAGCTGGCCTTCGGTAGCCTGCTGACTTCTCTTTGGGGCAAGCAGCTGTGGGGTAGTAAACAGCCAGCCCCTCACGCGTGTCTGCTGTGTTCTTGAGCATTGCCCTGTCTCCTGTGTGAACTCGAGGGCCGGGATTTGAGCCCTTCTGGACAGAGCAGGCAGGGTATGCGTGAGGGCAGGTACCACAGCGTCATGCAGGGATTCTGCGAGCCACTGAGCTCAGGGCCTTCTCTGGAAGAAAGGAGACACGAGATGGGTGTCCTACAAACCAGCCTGGAGGACAGGGAGGGGGGGAGGGGGTCCTGGGCGAAGACTGTGGGAGAAGCACTGGTAGGCCAGAGCTGGGGAGTGGGGGGAGGCCCCCCGGGGATGAGCGGCCAGGATGCTGGTTCTCCCAGGGGGTCTGACCAGCTCCAGCTCATCGTGTGAGGTGACTTTGGGGACAGAACAAGGAGGCCTGCTGGGTGCTGACCACTCACGCCTGCAATCCCAGCCACTCAGGAGATAGAGCTGAGGACCACAGTTCAAAGCCAGCCTGGCAGGAAAGTCCATGAGACTCTTATCTCCAATAAACTATTCAAAGAAGCCGGAAGTGGCGCTGTGGCTCAAATGGTGGAGCACTTGCCTTGGGCAAAAGGAGCTCAGGAATGGCACCCAGGGCCAGAGTTCAAGCCGCAGGATCAGTAAAAAAACAAAAAACAACAACAAAAAAAACAGGAGAGCCATCTTGTGCAAGAGAGACACAGTCCCTGATGCCCTGGCTGGCAGGGCTGTGCATAAGCAGAGTTTTTCGGAGGTACCTGTGCTGCTCTGGAGATGCCGGTAGCCACCAGCAGCTTCCTTCCATGTCTTCCTGCCCCTTCCTAGCCAGCGTGATGGGAGTTAGCAGCCCAGGCCTGGGCCCTGGAGCCCAGTAGGCAGAGGCTTTCTTTTTCATCCTTTAGCCTCCTGTGGCCTGCCAGCCCTCTGCGCTGTAGAAGTGGGCACGGGAAAGCTGGCTGGGACCCTGTCCAGCACCTCAACTGCTCCCGGCCACGCTTGGCAGGGAAGGCCTGGCCCGGGCTCCCACCTGTGGGTCAGCCTGGCTCTGGAGGGCTCTGTGTGGCCGACATGACCATGGCCCCTGGGGGTGCTGGGGACACCCCAGAGGTTGCGCTCTCCGGCCCCAGCATGACCTCCCGTAAATCGGTCACCGGTGGGTGAGCGCTGAGCCACGCCCATGCCAACTGGCAAGGACAGGCTCTGAGAAAGCCACCCTGGAGCCACGGCTCCCTCCCTGCGGGCTGCCCTTGAGGGGGTGGGAGGGGCAGGGGGCCCTTGCAGAGCTGGGCCGCCCACAGCGGGCAGCCCCCCAGTGTGCTCTGGACCCGAAGTCACATGGAGGCAGCCTTCAGGGCTGAGGTGCAGGTTCGGGCCTCGGCCTGGTCTTCCAGTGCCTGGATCTTCACCCCATCTTGCCCCGGCCTCAGCCCCAAGCCAGTCATCTGATGTGGGATTCCTCCCACGCGCTCCAGCGTGACCTCACAGTGACTCACCTCCCCTTTGGAGGACCTGGCAGTTAGGGCATCTGCATAGGATTTGGGGGGCTGCATTCAGCCCCCTACCCAGAATGACCTCGCTAGGTCTTGGAGCCCAGGGAAACGCCTGCCTGTCTCTCCCCACGTCTCTGGAGGAGTTCAGGCACAGCCCCTTGCCTGATTCACCAGAGGCACCAAAGAGGCCCATGAGAAGGCCCTCTCCTCCCCTCCTCTCCCCTGCCCTGCCCTCCCCTGTCCTCCCCTCCCCTGCCTTCCCCTCCCCTCCCCTGCCCTCCCCGGTCCCGAGTTCACTCCCTGTCCTCCGCCCTGACAGAACTAGGCCTTTCAGGTGAGCAAAGGCAGAAATTGGGTCCCAAAGAGGCTGCTCTCCTCTGCCAAGCAGGTCAAGCCCCCGGCAGAGGGGCCCCCGACCCCAGCACAGTCAAGAGCTCTACCCAACGGGGGCCTGGGTGTCTCCCAGGAGAACTCTGCTAAAATAGCATCCGGAGGCCTAAAGGAAACTATATTGTGGGTCGCGGTCTATTTCTGGGCCCCTGTATCTAAATGAGGCAGCCGCACCTGTCGGGTATGAAGGAAGGGAATTTCACAAGCCGAAAATAAAGCCGAATGCCTTCCCCTTGGTACCACCCATGGAAAATGCTCTTATATTTATATCTGGGCTGGCAGGGAGCAGGGGTGGAGAAGGCACAGGCACCTGCCAGGGAGCAGATTTGAGATGAATGGAGGACACTTCACTCAGCACGCCAGGCGGCTGCAGCCCGCCAGTCCCTGCCAAACACCTGTGCCCGTCCAGCCCGCCGGGCACGCCGCACCGCCGCCTTCGCCCTCGGTGTTTACCTGGTCACCAGCAAGCTAACCTGGACGGTGGTTTCAAATCTGGATTCTGGAGCCCTGTGTGCACACCTGTGTGGCAGGAGACAAGCGAAATGCACAGGCCCCACCGGCTCTTTCTCTGGGGGCTGCTATTTGGGGACCCCACCTGCCCCCCCCTTTCCTACCAAGATTCAACTCAGCTCCACCTTACTCCCTTAAAAAGCCTCCTGAGCAAGCAGCCGAGTGGCACACGTCAGAACCCCTCCCTGCAGTGGGAGCTGGGGCCGAGAGGGGATGCGGGCCCTGGGGCCCAAAGGAGTTGGGAGCAGGTGTTTCCATCACCAGCTAGTTGTAGCTGGTGGAGGCGGAGACCATGGAGCGAAGCGGGGTTCTGGACAAGACAAAAGGCCGGGGCTGTGGCTTCCCCAAGGGAAGTCCTGACCACTCTCCCGGGCAGCAGGAGACGCTGCATGCAGCCCTGAGACCTCCCCGTGACTCGTGGGGAAACCAAGTGCACACCGGCCACCCCTCCCTGCTGCCCGCTGAAAGCCGGAGGTACTGAGGTGATGGACTTTGTTTCCAGAAGCCTAGGGTGGTCCCCCTCCTTCCCCTCCTTCCCTCCCCCTCCCCCTCCTCCCCCTCCTCCTCTCCTCTTCCCTTCTCCTCCCCATCCTCCTCCATCTGTCAGTTGTGAGGCTTGAACTCAGGGCCTGAGCTCTATCCCTGAACTCTTTTTCTCAAGGCTAGCACTCTACCACTTTGAGTCACAGCTCCACTTCTAAGCCTAGGGTTCTATAAATAGAATTTTGTTCCAGAATGTTCTAGAGGGTTCTCTAGATACTTGAAAATAGCCCACTTGTTGCTATCTGTACTCGAGCGCCCACCCCTGGCCGCACCCGCATGGCTAAGTTTAGCTTCCTGGCAGAGCTTGATGGAACAAAGTTTCCAGACTGCTCTGCCTCAGGCGCAGAGCACCCCGCCACCAGCAGGTGGCTTGGGAGAGGCCACACTGCCTTCCCCTCCACCCTAGGGCTGCGATCGCCCTGGCTGCGATCATGCTGCGGGTCTCCAGCGGGAGCCGAGGGACCACGTTGGGTTCTTAGTGAGACCCCCAAGTGAAGGAGGCGGGGTCAGGGGACGCACACACCTTGCTGCTAGCTGCGGAGCGCTGGCGCAGCCCAGCCCAGCAGAGGCCGCAGCAGCTCCCCCTTCTTATTTCCTAGCTGTTGTTCTCTGCAAGGATACACCATGGCTCCTCCCCAGAAGGGTGGTCATTTCACTTCCTGTGCTGGCGTGGGGGGAGGACACCTGCCAGGCCAACTGCGGAAAGACTCAGCGTGGGGGGGGGGCTCTCCTCATCTGGACATCCCTCTCTGGTCTGCACGTGGGTGGCGCTGACCCTGCCACCCTTCAGCTCCCTGAGAGTGGACTCCAAGGGCCCCAGGGCTGCAGGTGTGGTCACCTGCTGGTGTTTATCCCCTTCCCTTCCCACTCTGCAGACCTGAGGCCCTCGCCAAGGTGTGGTGCAGGCCTGGGGGCAGAGCTGGGTAGACTGGAAGCCTTACCCCTCCCCCCCCCACATAAGGGACAGATGTGGCCTCAAGTGCCCTCGTTGCCACATCATGGCCCTGAGTCCACATCTGAGGGATGGACAGCACAGCTCTGTGAGGGCCCTACCCCATCCTGCTGTCGGCTGGCCTTTAGGGACAGCACCTGGGTAAGGTCTGGGTATGTTCCCCAGCCTCGATGCCCACGGAGCTTCTGGTCACTTGAGAGGACAATCGGCAAGCGCCCATGGTAATCACGGTTCAGGGATTAGAGGGAAAACAAGAACCAGACCCATTATGGCACCTGGCCCATAGTAGGTGCTCACTGCTCAGCTTCTCCCCACATTCTTTGTACAATGAGAGTACTAGTCTTTCTGATTTACAATTGGGAGTATCTAGCCAGGTGTGGAGGTCCACCCAACACTCAGGATGCTTAGACAGGACTGGGAATTCAAGGTTAGCCTGGGTTACACATCAGGATCCGGTCATGCCTCATCACTAGCCGGGCAGAAGGCAAATGACTGACCCACCTCCCCCCCCTCCCCCGTCCTCCCCGCCCCCCTCCCCCGCGGCCCCACCCACTCCATTCCAGGTAAGGACAGGAGCCGGCTCTGTGGAGCCTCCTACTCGTTACT